TCGAACGTGCAGTTTCCTCATCCAGATCCGAGGGGCCGTGACTGCCGGTCGCCCTGTGGTGGCTGGTCTTGGAAAGAACTCCTGCCCGACCCAGCAGCAGGAAGGTTACCAAGTGCTGGGAACTGTCATTAGTTTTCAGATAGCATTCTCAGGAGTCGGTGGGTTCATTTGGATGCCAGGAAGGAATCCTGGCTCAGCAGCTGGGGCGTGAAGAACATTTGCTTCTACAATGTATCCAAACTAGCATGCTGGGAGGGAGAGACGAGAGAGAGGGAGGGAAGGAGGGAGGGAGGGAAGGAGGGAGGAGGGGGGAGGGAGGGAGAGTGGGTGGGAGGGAGGGAAGGAAGGAAGGAAGGAAGGAAGGAAGGAAGGAAGGAAGGAAGGAAGGAAGGAAGGAAGGAAGGAAGGAAGGAAGGAAGGAAGGATCCTTTAAATAGCATGTGTGCCAGGCTGCACTGTCCGCCTGCACTGCTGCCAGGGCTGCTAAAGACTGTGCACCCTGCCACTCACAGACCCTGTGGAGTCCCCGGGAGCATTCCACAAATGAGTTTCCTCTGCTGTTTCGCCATGCTAACCCCTGTGTGGGGTGGGGATGGGGGTGGGGGTGTTTCTTCGGGTCATCTAGCCTGAGGGCTGTGTGGAAAACAAACTCGCAGAGCAGCAGCAGCGTGCAGTGGTCTCTGGTTCAACTCTCCTTTTCCACAAAAAACCCAGGCTCACAATAAAAAATCAGTAAATAAATGCATTGTGTTTAAGGAAAGTGTTTAGCTGATTTCTCTTTTTTCAATTGATAACATCTTCCTTGAATATTTCCTACTGGCCAGGGAGGGCTTCCAAAGTGATCTAAGATATATTTCCTCTCCTCTAAGACTTCAGGATTATGGGCCCATTTTTTAAACTATAAAGACCCTTGTGACTATCAAAAAATTTTGATAACCCTAAGCTGCCTCCTTTCCCAGCTCTCCTCCCTGAAAGTAGTTGTCCACTTGGAGTCCATTATTTAAGAAAATAATGCAAAGTTACTATGAATTTGAAAAATGGACTTGTAATTGACGCAAGGATTTCTATGTAAAAATTAGGAAACCACGTATATGTGAGACTTACTTTTACTCTGTCTACAGGTGACATTTTGGTGCACATGGGAATTTACAGACCAGTTGCGATGCCTAACCCACCAATTGGCTTATAGAAACAGCTTGATACTTGACACTTAAAAGTGTAAGAAAAGTTCAGAGAAAGTGGTACAGATATTTAAGAATTGTCTAGGCTCAAAGAAAGGAGGGATTATAATGGTCTGTTGTGGACAGGTGTGTCCTTAAGAGGTGTAACTGTTGAGCTTGGCTGTGAAAGTTTAAGAGAATTGTCAATTTGGAAAATTGCCAAGAAATCACGTAAAAGATGCAGAGGGTCTGCTCTGTGGGCAAACAGCATCAAATGGTCATATCAAGCAAAGAACAGCACACATTTTTGAATCGGACAAACCTGTGTGCCCATGACCTGTGTGACCTTGGGTTGTCACTTAGAGTAATCAATGTTCAGTTTCCTCTCCAATAAAATGGAGTAACCTGTCCTGAACGTGCCAGAGGAGAGTTGGGAAGATCAAATAAGATCAAATAATTAAGAAGCAGAATTTTCTGGACTGTAATTTTACCAAATTAATAAACATTATTTTTAAAGGCTCAGATATGCCCATGCAACTGAGTAGGCCACTGTGTTGGTTAGGATCCTTTGTCTGCAAGCAACAGAAATGATCTAACTTGTGGTGGGAGGTGGAGCGGAAGAAAGAAGCACACACTGTGGCTAATAGCTCACAGAAACAAGAACCAGTCTCAGAAACAAGAACCAGGGAACAGCACAGTGGGAGAGATCGGTAGTAGCAATTACTTAAAGATCTCATTTGTTTTTTCTTTCTTGAATCATTCCACTTAAGTCAAAGTCCCACAGCAGGAGAGTCTAGTGGGCAGGGCACCCTGACTTATGTTCCCATCGAGATGATGAACCAGTGTTGGGGGTCGGGGGGAGATAGTTTTTCCCGAGAGGAAATGAAAAGGTTGTTAATGGAAGAGAAGTAGAATGGATGGTGAGTCTCCAGAAAACAACAATCCCCTCCAAAGAATTTCAAAAGATCATTCATACTTTTATGCATTTATGTAATCTCATGAAATTCAGCTGTGAAGAATAGTGGAATGTAAGCCTAGAAAAGTAAAAGTTGAGGCAAGTGCAAACAAAACGGCCCATTCCAGTTGCTGGAATATATTTCAAGCTGTTTGCTTCACCTTGGCCTCCCCGGCTTGCCTGGGAGGGCGCAGCTTCCTATATCTGGGTGATAAATCAGTGAGGAGTTCAACCCTTGGCTGAATTTCCTGTGCATTCCTAAATAACACTAGTGATGCACATGAGCTCAACTGGGAACTTTGAGTTGTTTTATGGCTACAATGATTGATTCCTGTCAATCAACTCTTCTCTCTGATCCTCCCTCACCATGATGCAGAAAATGTTTCAATGCATGAATGAATGATTAGGAGACTAGTCAGGCCCTTGTTGGGGAATTAAAGGAAATAACATGTGTGAAATATTTAGTTGGTTCTTGGCACAAAATAAGCATTCAATGGATGCTACAGCAATAATAATCATCATAACGGAGAAGGAAGGGGAATAAATATGACGGCGATGGCAATGGCGATGATGATGATGATGATGGCAGTGATGACGATCATAATCGGCTTTGGATCCCAATGATATGGATCGCAATCCTGGCTCCGTTACTTACCAACTGTAAACCAATGGCTTTAGTGCAGCCTCCATTTGCACATCTGCCAAAACCATCTGCCCACACACCCCTTTCCGCAGCCCGTCTTGGGGAGACAAGGAAGGTGCCCAGGGGATACGTAGCTAGAAAGGGCAAGGTCTCTTCTGCACGTGGAGAGAGAGACAGAGGACCCGAGGCCAGAGCCCAGAAGAAAAGCAAAGCAAGGGCCACTTCAGTAGGGAGGTCACTGGGAAGCCCCTTGGAGGGACGAGAGAGGAAAACGTGGCCATTGCGGGGTATCCATCAGGTCTGATTAAACCAACTATGGGGACTTCCTGCAGCAGGATCACCAGCTCTCAGACCCCGCGGCCACTCCTCTCTGAAATGAATTTGGATTTCGAAAGCCAGCGATAGGCTGATGGTCGGGGTCGGGAGAAAAGCGCATGGCTTAATCAGGGCCGTGAAAGCAGCTGACAAATTACTGCATGATTTGTCATCATCTCAGAACTCAGCAAGTGTTTGTCCCTGAAAGAATCGATACCTGGAGGGAAGAGGGCCATATTTTTAGAAACTCCTGGATGGGTAATTTATTTCAAGAGACTGGAGAGTTTATTTATGCCAGTGGACGGTATATTTACACGAAGCCAGAAAATGCTATCATTTCTTCTAATCAATTTGCCCCTTTGAACAGCTGTACCTTGGAGCTTTCAGCTGTAAATTCACTGCTGTGCTAAAGGCTCAGCGCGGGAACCATTTCCAGCCCCGCCTCTAGCACTCCATCCTTTTATTTGCTTAGCACTCTGCCCCTCTCAAAACATTCCCCCAGGGACCCTGTCTTCCTGGCACAAATGTGATGGACGGGGGCTGGTCCCATTCTACAGATGAGGAAACCGAGGCTCAGGAGATGGATGCAGTGGCAGCCAATGTGCAGTAGAATTAAAAAGCAAGAGTTCTCTACCCCAGTTGTGCCCCATCCCCCCCCGTTGGACTCTAAGAGATTATACAAGTAGATGGCCCAATGAAAGAAGAAAAGGGGAGAAAGAATCAAGGGCATGTTTAAAGTGGCTTGCTCCAAGAATATTCACCCGGGGGAGCGCGCTGTGCAAGTGACGCCAGACGGTCCACAGCGAGACTTGCATTCCAATCCCAACGCTGGTGTGACCTTGGGCAGCCAGTCTGATCCTTCTGAGCCACAGGCGTTCCAGCTCCAAAGAGGGGATAATTAAAAGTCCCACTTCACAGAATAGTTGTAAGCTCGAAAGTAATATGTGTAAAGTTCTCATCGCAGCGTCTGGCAGAAATGAGAATGCATCAAATGCTGTTTATTTTGTTTCATTAGCAACTATTTTCATGGAATTTTTATAAGAGCAAAAGAAATTGAAACAATGTAAATTTTCAATAGTGAAATGATTAAGTGAAATACGGTGGCATTCAGACATTGGTTTCTATGTAGGTATTAATGAGGATGCAGAAAATTTTAATAAAATTTATTATAATTTATTATAATGTTCAAGTATATGAACATTAAATCTCCGTTTTGAAATCCATCACTGTATATGTGTGTCCATACATGAATATGTGTGTGCGTGTATATACTTATACACTCTGGGAATATTATATACACAAGAATACTAACCGTAGCTATCTCTAAATGGCATGATATATAATCTCATCTTTCTGATCATCTATTTCTGTGCTTCCCAGTGTGGAAGCCACTAGCCACACGTAGCTGTTTAACTTCAAATCAATTAAAATTAAATAAAATCTAAAAATCAATTCCTTAGTCTTCCTACCACATTCCAACAGCCACCTGCGCCTCGTGGCCCCACCTGGGCCAGGGCAGACTTAGAACCTTCGCATCAGGCAGGGGGCCTGCCGGACGGCGCTCGTCCCGCAGTTCGACTCCACGCATGTTTGCTGGTCACAGCCCGGGAGTGTGCTGCTGGCCTCTAGTGGGTAGAGACCAGAGAGGCTGCTCCATATCCTACGAGGCACAGGACTGAGAAACACAGCTGTCCAATGTTCTCTGCTGTGCGTCTAAATTTTATTTCCATCTGTTTTCTTTTCCTTAATGAGGATGTAAACTTTTCTTCCAATACATTACAATTATCACAGTGCAGCAAACCAGGGGTTACCTATTTGCAATGATTCTAACAATGATTAGCTCCCCAATGGCCCTATTAAAACTAGATCCTTGTTAATAACCTCATGATGTCAAAATAGTAACCTCATGACGTGCTCTCTCTCACAGGAGGTACAGTTCGAACCAGAACATTTCCACAGCACCATTGTGTGTGAGAAACCCAACAACCACCTCAACAAATTCAAGGGTTATATGTAAGTATCTCCTGCCCACCTGCTGCTGGTAAATATCTCCTCTGCAGCTCAAAAACATTTTCTTTTCTTAAAATGGCCAAACAGATAAGTATTCAGGTCCTGAGGAAATGTATGTCTTTATCACAAAGGTCTAGAGAAACCCAAGTTGTGAAACTTTTCTGATTGTTTCTTTTTGCTGGAGAGACAGTTAATTATCTTGCGAGGTTAGATTCAGAAATGTTGTTTCTTAGAACTCTGGTGAAATAGCATCAAAATCAAGACCACACTCTGATTCAGAGGAGGCAAGTTCGAGTTAACTGAGATTGGTTTTCTGAAAGACCTGGTATTGCATTGTGGGTAAGGACAAGGACTTTGAAAGTTTGCCAGACCTAGGTTTGAAATCAGATTCTATCACTAGCAAAGCTGTGGGACCCTGGGCAAGTTAATCAACCTCTTTGGGCCTTAGTTTGCACATCCATAAAATAAAGATTATAATATATACATCACAGGATTTTTCGTTTCAAAGAACAAAGTTGTTTATCCTACGCAAAGCCCTTAGCGCAGCCACTGGCGCAGAGGAAATATTCCATTAGTGGCGGCTGCTGCCGACGCAATTATTGTTATTCTTGTTCCTCAGTTTTGGTTCGGCCTGAGAATTTTACTGAAATTCTGCTCTCACATCAGAAGACTGGTCTTACTGGGGAAAAAAAAAAAATATCACAGACATGAATAAATGTCCATATGCAGCACTTCAACAGTGTTTAAAGGAGTTTCACAGAGCCTCATCTCATTCAACCTGCACAACAACCCAGGCAAAAAGTATTTCATTTTTCAGATAGGGAATCTGATGATCTAATGGTTCTCAAGGCTCACCTGAAGGCGCACAGCAGGTGTACGACAAAGCCAGGACCTGCATCCAGGCCCTTTCACTCCACCCATCCCCCACCCCGTGTGTTCCCCATGGCTGGCCGTGCGGGACGGACCTCAGCCTTGCTGTGGCGACTTCCCCACCACCCTGGAGGGGCAAGGCAGGGGTCGATGCTGTCCCTCCACCCACATTTCCTCGGGCCGCAGGGGACATCATGAGGAGCAACGTGAGAGGGGAGAGGGGTCGGAACAACACAAGAGAAATAGCAGCTTGTGAACGCCACTGACCTTTGGAAACCACAGAGTGAGCAGATGGAGCCAGAGGAGGGCATGAACTCCTGGGGGAGAGGCGGCTTCGTGGCGGGAATATGGCAAGGCAGGGCTTGCCACCTGCCCCCCAGCAAGGGGTCCACCCCTCGCGCCCGAGATTTGTGAATCGGATTCATCCTGAGTCACCTGTGCCTGGAGTCGCTCTCCTTCTCCTTCCAGAGCAGCCTCATCGCTGGGTTTCTGTTCTGCCCCAAACAGCTTGGGCCGCAGGCCAGCCTCTGAGCCTTCCACCTGGGCTCTGTCCCCACCTCTGAGCCTTCCACCTGGGCTCTGTCCCCACCTCTCAGGCAGAACGTCCCCATCGCCGCCTGACCCTCAGCACTCCCTCTTCTGGTTGCTGCTCCTAGGGACGCCTTTTCCCCACCTGCCCAGGCCTCGTGCGGAGCCCTAAAAATCCAGTGGGTCCGCCTCGTAGCCAACCATGGAATGATGGGAAATTCTCCACTGTGGTCCTGCATCCCTTTTAATGCTCTGTTTGAAGGTTAGGGTTGTCAGATAGGAAAATGTAACTTTGAAACCAAAAGATTTCTATGGAGCAGTGGTTCTCCATCAGGAGCCAACCCGCCCCCTCCTCCGCCCTGGGGGAATCTTTACAATGTCTGGAGACATTTTTGGATATCACACTAGGCAGGCGGGTGCTGCTGGAGAGAGGCCAGAGATGCTGCTGAACGTCCTGCAAGGCACAGGGCGGTGCCACAACGAAGAATGACCCCGCCCAAAGTGTCAGGGTGAGAGAGGCCGCTCAGCTACAGACCCTCCTTTGCGCAAACCGCCCTGTATGGAAAAGTTAGATATGTAAATGCTAGAAAAAAGTGAGCGATACGCCAGCACCAGTCGGAGACACGTCCCTGCTCAAGTGAGAAGAACTGCAAATGGAAGTGACTCCGACTCAGTATAAGTTACCTGGGCACTGCTTCGCAAACCCTCGTGCAGTAAAACCACGTGAGGGTAGGTGTCACATGTTCCGTGGGTTCCCAGGTCCTCGGATGTCCCACGAGGCGTGTGTCTTTGGAAAAGGCGGTGATCCTCTCTGAGCCTCCCCTTTTTCACAAGGATCATCACCCTGCTCACTTCCCAGAGCCTCAAAGAGTCAAATAAAATAACATGAGAACATACAGTTTATAAATACAATGAGGAATAATTAGTATTAAAAGGCATATTGAATTTCTGGGTTTAAATCTCTGATCTGCCCCTTAGTAGGCCTATGAACTTGCCTCAGATTCCCTGTCTATAAAGCGGGTGCGATAATATGACTTATCTTAGAAGCCTGTCTTAATGATTGAGTTAATGAATAAAAAACACACGTACAAGACCTGGGAAATGAACTGTTGAAGAGCAGGAAGGAGAAACGGCCCTAAAGGTTCAGACTATTATTTTTATTTTCCCCAGTGTTGTGGGGAAGTTATGTTTAAATTTCCTAAAAACCCCAAAGGAACGCCATCCGGGCAGAATAAGGGCCAGACACTGCGTAATCACTGGTGTTGCCTGGACCCAGAATTTTCTAGTGTGGGGTGAAAAAGGCAATGCTCTCTGGGGACAGAGCGTGGGGAAAACTACCCCTCTTTAAGAAGCTGTGTCCCTGCATATAGCATGAGGGCCACTTTCCGCCTCCTGTGATGGAGCCAGAGGGGGACAGTTCAGGAGCTCGGCCAGGGAGAGAAGGAACTGGAAGGAGAGGCGCCCGCCCGCTGCCCTTCCCTGCCTGGCTCCCGTACGAGAGGCAGGACTACCTGGTGTTTATGGCGGACTCGGACAGTTCCGGTCCCCGCAGCAAGGGGACAGCAAGCAGGTGAACACAGCCTGAAGGGAACACAGCACAGTCCTCACAGGGCCAGGAGCCCATTCCCGCGCAAACCGTTTTTGAGGCTTTTTCAGAGTTCTGCTTTTTGGGTGGGGAAACGAGGATTTCCGTAGGGGTGGGAAATTCCCTCCTGCTGGCCCGGACCCCCAGGGGCACCCAGGAGTTGCACCTGAACATGGGGATTAGATTCTGAGGTGATATTGCTCTTCTGAAAAAGAGAGAGGACAGGGGTTGTGTTCACTTGCCTCTTCTAGTTCTGGGATGCCAGCGAGGTTCCGCTGTGCCCAGTGCCATGGAGAAGCCACCAAACTGCTCCCTGTCTTCCCTCATCCGCAGGGAGCATCCTGACCAGACCAGGACCGGCTTCGGCAGTGAGAGTCTTCTGCTTCGAGGCTGCACCATCAGAAACACTGAGGTGGCTGCTGGCATTGTCGTCTACGCAGGTGACAGTTTCTTTTGTCCCTTTCCTTTATCTTTCCTCCACCACCCCCTCCTCCAAATTCACCTCCAGTCGGGGGGAACTCGCGTCCATCCCAAGGGGTAGAGTCACATAACTTCCCATTTCTCAGCTAAGCAAACTGAGGCTGGAGTCACAGCTGCTCATGCAGTTCACAGGAGAGAACATTAGAGTCCAAGGTACAATCACTCAGCTGAACAAGACAGGGAGGAAGATTCCCCATCATTCACCTCAAATGGTTTGGCAACACTAACCATAGGCGAGATAAAGTGTATGCAACTGAGCCTGAGGAATAACCTCACCAAACTTAATAACTTCATCTTTTGTGCCTCAGTTCCTCATCTATACACAATGGGGAAAATATTTTTATCTTTTTCATAGAGTACTCATGAGGATCAAAGGACCCAGCACAGGAAAAGCACTTTATCCAGCGTGCCAAGGCACGATTGGTGGTCATCGTGTTGTTTTTGCCGTTAAGTTTTTATTGTAATCTTTATTCAGCTTATGGCTCGAGTTTCAGTGGTCTGTCTTTCCTTGCTGCTGCCATTTTGCTTTCTTTAAAAAAGAATAATAATAAGATAGCAACATTTCTTACAATGAAATCTGAAGTCTTAGAGGGCAGTCTTAAGACGACTGTATCCCTGGAACGTAGAACCCGGTGCTCTGTGGGCGCTCAATGAATGTTTGTTGTGATGCTGACAACTGCAGGCTTCTGTGGGGGAGACACGGTCTCCCCGAGGTGTCCGCTGACCCTGGAAGACTCCGGGATACATTTCCCTGGGTCTTTCATTCCCTGGAACACCTTGTAATATTTTGTCTACTTGTGTTGTTTGACTTCTTTTTTTTTTTTGGTCTGAGTAAAACCCCACTTTTGATGGACATAGAAGAACATTTTAAGCATTGATCTACCTAAGAGTCATTTTTTTCAGACTGTCAAAGAGAAAACAGGTGTTTAAACAAATAATGCCACAGTCTGGCTAGTCTCCCCTCATTTGGGGGGAGGGGGGTTGCATTTGTCGGTTCAGGCGACTGTCGTCCCAGGTCTTTGGTAACGAAGTCCAGCGCCGTCTGGCAGACCCACTGAAGCCAACTCCGCAGCAACCTCCGCCCCACCGGGAAAGCTCACCCAGGCTTAGAGGTTGCCTCTCTGAGTGATCAGAAACAAGGAAGAACACCGGTGGGTCACGGGAGTGGTATGTAAAGGGGCAGATTTGGAGAGAGCGTCACCGCGGCTCTGGGGGCATCAGCTGCCTGGGGCCAAGTCCACGCACCGGCTGTGCGCTCCTGTGCGAGTCAGCTAAGCTTTCAGCACGGGGACAGTAAGAGTTCCTGCCCTGTGGGGTCATAAGATTCAACGGAAATGATCTGTGAGCGGGGTTAACACAATGCCTGGCACATATTAAACTCTCAAACGTGTGAGCAAAAAGGATACTAATTGGCACCAGTGTTATTGCCTAGAGCAGGGGTGCTCGGCCTCGGCACAGCAGGCTCGTGGGCCCAGACTGGTCTCCGTGGTGGCGGCTGCCTTGCGGGGTGTTGCGCGGCATCCCTGGCCTCCACCCGCTCGGTGCAGCTAGCACCGCCTTCTCAGGGCGTGGCAACCGGTCTCTCACGGCATCTCCAAAGGTCTTCCGAGGAGTTAAATCCCCTGATTGAGAACCACTGGTCTAGAGCTCTCCCTGGATGGTATGACGGACAAAATCAGAGCAGCTCAGTGTCAAAGGCCCAAAGAAGCCAAGCTGAGCTTTCCAGAGAAGAGGCCCGGTGTGGAGGTGTGTGCTCTGCTGTGTACAAGGAACGCATTTAGGTGCTTCATGTATACCTATCCACTCCCCCACCCCAAACACGCACGCAACCATTATCTCCTACTCTGCAAACAAGGAATCAAGGTGCCAAAGGGTGAAGTCATTCAAGGTCACTAGTCTCCTGAGATTAATTCTGTGTAACCCAGGGCCAGGTATCTGCAGAGCCTAGCTCTGACTCTAGAGCCCACGTTCTAACTGCTACACCACGCCACCTCCCCCGTGCGGCCAACGTTTGCAGAAAGGACAGGGGGATCTGGAAGGTGAGGAGGAGCAGGTGTTTGAAGAGGGTGGGCCCAGGTGCCCTTGCGTGGGGTGGCCCTGAGGAGGCCCTGGGGCAGGCAGGAAGGCCCAGCCTGGTCAGCACAGCCGGCCTGTGCGCACTGCGCTGCGGAAAGCCCCTCGCCGCTGCAGCAACCCCACTGTTGTTTGATAAGCCTAGAGTCCGCTCGCTCCTACCATTCTGTTGCACTTTAAATCCGCAGGGCAACTAGCTGAACAGCATTAAACCCATTCGCTGCCCGAGTTGATCTATTAGTTTCCTTTAATTTTGCACAGAAAAGATGGAATTGGTGTTTTTTCATTTGACTGCTAAGAAGTGCAGCATGGTAGTTAAAATTTAGCAGCCCCCAAGCACAGGCTCTGCCTTAAGACAGAGCCTCAGTACGACTCTCAGCCGTGAGCTGGCGGAAGGAGAAACAGGCTGGGGATCGGAATCCAGGGGCCTCCGTGTGGCCCTGGTGCTAACTTATTCGGTCATTCTAGGCAAGTCCCTTCTACCTTTCTCCAAATAGAAAAAGGGATGATTGGATGAGGTTGATAGTTTTCAAATTTTGAACAAAACATTATGCGTGCAGAATTCCAGGGGAGGAGTGGAAGCCTCGGCCCCACCACTCTTGCCTGAGCATCACCCACACCTGAGGCAGAGACATGTATGAGAACGACTGGCCCCGAGCAGTGTCCTGCCCCAGGGCCTTGGCACCTACCGTTCCCCATCTGAAAACCCTCTTCTCCCAACCCTTCTCTCTCCCTTCAAGTCTTTTTCAAATATCACCTCTTTCGAGAAGCCTTCCCTGATCATGCTCTCTGAAACCATCTCTTCTTTATTAGCCCTTTGTTTATTGTTCATTTCATGGGACATATTACTATCTGCAATTATTTATTTGTTTCCGTGTATATTTTCACCAGAAGGTGAGTCATCTGTCTTAGCACTGTCTACCACCATTAGCCCATGATGGTGCCTTTGTGCACGTTAGAAATAGACAGCCCTTCCTCAAAACAGCTTACTGTCATTCGCCAGAAATGGACCATAATTAACTTACAATTCTATGACAATTGCAAAGTGGCGGGCACCTCTAGATTTGTGCGGGGCACAGCCTGAGCACGGTAGCTCCGTCAGTGCCCACCAGGGTCTGCATGTTGGGATGCTCAGTAAATACCTGCTGACCAATTGTGTGCAGACGCTGCAGCGGTTCTCAGCAGGCTCCCTGAGGCGGGGCAGATGCAGGGCAGGGAAGGAAGCCTCTCTGAAGCTGCGAGCTCCTGTGGGAAGGGCCAAGGCTCTGATCCAGGCCAGAGGCCAACGGGGGGCAGGAGACTGATAACCTCATTTTTGCCCAAAGGCCACGAGACGAAAGCCATGCTGAACAACAGCGGCCCGCGGTACAAACGCAGCAAGATCGAGCGCCGCATGAACACAGATATCTTCTTCTGCGTCGGGCTCCTCTTCCTCATGTGCCTCATTGGAGCTGTAGGTATGGAATGTTCTGGAAAGGACAATACACGCTACCACAGTAATCTTTTTCTTCAACTCTCTGAGCTTTAGTTTCCTCATCTATAAAATAGAGTTCATAAAAAATAAAGCCTCCCCTGGCCTGTAACAGAAGAACAGTGAACTTAAAATGCATGTGAAAAATCTCCTGTAAGTACTAATTACTGAAACTATGAGGAATATCATCTATTTTATTTGTCCAAGAGATACTTACTGAAGCCAAGCCCTGTCTTAGGGTGAAAAGGCAAAACAAGATGTATCAGCTGGCGCTCCCGGTCCAGCAGGAAGGGGCCGGCATGTGGACAGGGCCCGTAACAAACCGTCTGCTCGGGAAGGGCCATGCACACGTGCTGTATTCATTTCCTGTTGCTGCTGTGAAACGCTAACACAAACTTATTGGTTTAAAACAGCACAATCTCTTCTGTTAGCTCTGGCGTTCGGAAGCCCAAAATCAATGTCACCATAATAAGATCAAGATGTCAGCAAAGCTGGCTCCTTCTGGGGGCCCTGAAGGGAGAATCTGTCCCTTGTCTTTTCCACTCCTAGTGACTGCCTGTCACTAAATCAGAGGTAACCTCTCGATTTGATCCGTGGCCCCTTCCTCCACCTTCAATGTGTATTACTCTGATAATAGACTCTGATAATTCAGGTCTTACTCTCCTCGCATTTTTTTCTGCCTCTCTTTTATAAGACACTTGTAATGATACCGCTGGGCCCACCAGATGACCCAGGATACTCTTCCTTGTCTCAAGATCCTTAACTTAATCCAACACATCTACCAAGCTCCTCTTGCCATATAAGGTAGCATGTTCCCGGGCCCCCGGGGTTAGGGACGCGAACATCTTCGGGGACATTATTCATGCTACTCGAGAACACAAGGCTTGTGGGAGCATCAAGGGGCCGTAGGCATCCTCAGAGAAGGTAGGCCGGGGGCGGGGCAGGGGGCTGGGGCAGATGTGAAAGAGAGAGGTCACGCGTAGCCCCAGGGACAGCACAGAGGTAGAAAAGCCAACCACTTCAGACAGAGGAGCCTTTGGCTGTTTGGTGCGGCCAGAGCAAGGCCAGGACAGAGTGCCGATCGCAACCTGGCCAGGCCAAGCTCCCTCCTGCGCTGTGTGGGGGGCCATGGGGGGCAGGGGTGGTCGGATCCATTCACATTGAGCCTCGGAGGGCAGGCACGGAGGGACCCTCGTTCTCACCCACTCTGCCGCCACTATGGCTTATCTCTAAGGGTGGTTCTCAGGACCCCAAAGGAGGCCCTAGAAAGTGCCAAGGAAGGGCAAGAGGGAGAACCCCCGTGCTGAGGCCAGAACCCCTTGCTGACCCAGCAGAGGGAACAGCGGTGATGTTCGCTCCTGTGTCTCCTGCGTCAGCTACTGTCCCCATCCCTGGTTTTAAAAGAGAGTGTCTAAAAGGCTAAGGCCTTCCTAGGGCTGGGAGAGCTTTCGTGTGCCACCATGGGGGAGACGGTGAGATTAGCCTGCTGGCTGGCCTGGAGTGCTCAGCGAATACTTCCCAGACATGTCTAACGGCCGTCCCTGTGTGAGCGGCCCACGGCTGGGAGGAGGGCGCCTGGAGGGAGGGACGCAGACAAGCGAGGAAACCGTCGTACCCGTGTGGCCACGCCATGCACTCCGAGACGCTGCAGGACATGTTTTTCAGGGAACGTCAGGACTGGGAAGGACATTTGAGATCATCTCACTGTGTCTCCAGAGAAAGGAAGTTAATGATTATAAAGGTCGCACAGTGAGACAAGGTACAGACAAGCCAGAAGCAGCTTGGCAGATTGCCCAAATGATAAATAAATTGAGAAAGGCGTGGGAGGGGCAGAATCCTACTCTTCCTGAGAGCAATGACTCATGCGCAGAGAGGCCCCTGCAAAATATGAACGCTCTTAGTGAACACCACCATTCAGGGTTCTTTATCACACATTTACTTTGACTGTATAAAGGTGGTGTCTGTCTTTTCTTTTTTTTCTTTTTCTTTTTGCCAAGCATGCCCTCCCAGGCCTTTCTGAGCACCCCACACCCACCCAGGCTCCAGGGCCCCCCAAAGCCTCCTCCACTATGCAGCCTTCTCTGGTTTCTCCCGGGGCTTCTGGCTCCTCTAAAGGCTGGGGGCCCTTCCTCTGCACCATGTATTGGCCCCTCACCTCATGCCTGTGAGTCTTCTTTCTCCTGCCACGTATGATGGCATCTGGCCCAGCCTCCCGGGAAAAGCAGCAGCCTGGGGTCTGGGCAGCATTCCATTCTTCTTTTAGTCCCTGTGGCAGGTGAGGATGCTGAGATTCAGAGAGAGGGTGGCAGGTGATGGATACACTTCATCTTATTAATCCTCAGATGATGCGTGTTCTTATCCCCGTTTGCAGACAAGGAAACAGAGTTCAGTCTGCGTCAGGTGCTCTCACAGCATTGCAGGCCCTGGCACAGCACCTCTCAGACCGTAGGGGGCTTGTCCGTTCACATCTGGCTCCCTGACTTGGTGGGGACACCTCAAGGACAAGGACGAGGACCAATTCCTTCTTGAATTGACAAATGTCAGACAGAGGAAGGGAGGATGGATGGGTGGGTGGGTGGATGGATGGAGGACGGATGAGCAGAATGAATGGGCAGGTGGCTGGATGGGTGAGTGTGTCGGGGGAGTGGCTAGGTGAAGGTCTGGCAGGACCCCCCCACGGTGTACTTTCCACCCTGCAGCTGAAAAGGACTTGTGTCCCCTTCTCTTTTCCCAAACCCAATATAACAGAACTTCATGAAAATATGAGTGGTCCCCCTGCTAGCCTCATCTGGTAACAGATTCAGTGCCTACCGAGGGACTGATATGTAGGTTATAGGAAGGACCACTTTAGAGCTAAATGAACACAAACACACACACAGCTAGGTTACATGGAAGAGGGGCGGACTCCTCCGAAGCACACTCATTTCCAGGAATAGGTCAAGGGCTGGAGCAATTGACCAACCCTAGGACTAAGTGGAGATTCTGTCTCATGCTGACTTTGCTCCGTCTCAGGTCACAGCCTCTGGAACGGGACCTTTAGAGAGCACCCTCCCTTCGACGTGCCAGATGCCAAGGGCAGCTTCCTTCCCCTTGCCCTGGGGGGCTTCTACATGTTCCTCACAATGATCATCCTGCTCCAGGTAGGAAGTCCTCTCTAACTCATGGTTAAGAAAACCTGTGGCCAATACCTGTACAACTCTTGAAATAGAAATCATTGCCAGCCCCAAGAAAGGACTAACGGGACTGAGACGGGGAAATGCTTGTTGCTTTCGTGGGGTCCTTTGAAAGTATTTACCTTTGGGGTCATGACAGGACCAGGCCTACTTTGTGAGGGGAACTTGCCCCCAGTAAATAGTGGAGAGAAGTATTTACCAAGTTTTTCTGTACGAGTAAGATTACAGCAGTGACCCACGCGTGCCTGGTCCTCTGCCAGGAATTGAAGAGGGGAAACTAACGACCTGGGAATAAGAAAAGATAAAGTAGCACGGAGTCCAAGAAAGAACCGTCAAGCCCTGAACTCTGAGAGACAGAAACCACAGGAGAGTGTTTCAGCATTTGATAGGTTGAGATTTAAAATGTAAAAAAAAAAAAAAAAAAAAAAAAAAAAAAAAAAGGAACTGATCTTATATAAGAGAAAGAAAGAAAAAGATAGAGCAATCTTTGAAAAGACGAGGCTTCACCTACATTCTCTCTCTTGTACTATTTGAGAGGGCGGTCCATTGTCCTCTTACTGGTGCACGTTTTTGAGTCAGGAGCTCATTCATTCATTTAGCAGAGTAACCCTCTCTACATGCAAACCAGCTCATACCCCTGCTCTGCACCAACTCTCCAATGGCGTCACAGCCTCTCGAAGTGAAATCCAAAGTCCTTACCGCAGCCAACAAGCCCTGAGCGATCTGGGCCCTGAGTCCCTCCCTGCCTGGCTCATTCACAGGTGTACTCTCACCCCTCAAACGCCCGGCCACTCCCAGTGCCCGGCGTTTGCCCGGAATGCTCCGCCTCCCACAGATAACCTCACGACTCACCCTCATCTTCAGGCGTCTACTCCAAGGTCATGATTTACAGAAGAGTCCCTCCCAGTCATCACCTGCTGCCCTCTTTACTTTTTCTTTATGAGACTTACCACCACCCGCTATATATTTATTGGGATTTATTGAGTTTGTTGGAATTTAAGGTCTTCAAGGCCAGAAATCTTGTCCTGCTCACTGCCATGTCCAGGACCTAGAATAATAGATGACACACAGAAAATGCTCCATAGATATTGGCATTGAATCCAGGGCCAACTGTCGACAATAGATCTGAATCCCTGTCAAAGTGGGAGGCCACCCTTGGCGACACCGGGATCCAAGGGGAGTCCAGGGACTCTGGACTGAGGCAGGGTAGCATCTCGCCTGCTCCCCACTCTGCATCAGACAACCAGCAGTGAGTGCCTGCCTCACACGCGTGTCCCCTGCTGGAAGGAAGCATGTCTCCTCCTCAGGTCCCCCTAAGAATTTCAAGGGAGACATGAAGTCATGGACCTCCCGTGTCTCAGAGCATGTCCATCAAGTGAACTGAACTCAGCTTTCCATGGAAAGCCTTTGCCACCCTCTAAACAGGGTCCTGGGACAGGGACCGGACCTGGTGCCTGACTTAGTGGGACTTGATTTCTCGCAGGTGCTGATCCCGATCTCCCTGTACGTATCTATTGAGCTGGTGAAGCTCGGGCAAGTGTTCTTCCTGCACAATGACCTTGACCTGTACGACGAAGAGACCGATTCGTCTATTCAGTGTCGCGCCCTCAACATCACAGAGGACCTGGGCCAGATCCAGTACATCTTCTCTGACAAGACAGGGACGCTGACCGAGAACAAGATGGTGTTCCGGCGCTGCACCATCGTGGGCAGCGAGTATTCTCACCAGGAGAACGGTATGAGGCCTCGCAGGGTCCTTGTCCCGCTTCCTAAAGGAAGCATCCTGCACGTCTAGAGATGGTGATAAAAGACACTATCCTGGCTCTCCCCAGAGGCTGCGTGGCTAATGGAATGTAGCCTCCTGTCTCCCTGTGGCTTCCTTGTCACAGATTGGTGCTCTTCTCATCGCCCGTGAACTCGTGGTCACTCACAAGGCTATCAGCAGCCTCCTGTGTGTGGCCCTGCCGTCCACCTTGGTCCCGCGCCCTTTACGCACAGAACAGTTACTTGTCAGGAATGGCCTGGTGACATGTCCCAATTAGGTTCCAAGGTTTAAGAATTTCTTGGGTCACCCTACCTGAGAGGACAGACCTAGGTCTAGGTGCACAGTCTGACTGACACAGCCAGGAAATGCCTTCCATCTCTTGGGTGTTCAGAGGCAAAGCTTCAGCTTAGGAGATAGGGCTGTAAAATGCTGGGACTGTCATCTTGTGTGACTGAAGGCAACCTTCAAAGCTGACCTGATTCCCTCAGGTCTGCCTCCCCGGCCCTGCCCCGCGCACGCACACACACACTTTAACTAAGGGAAGAAACTCTCAAGAGAGCAGTGTTCATGATTTTGAGGAGGAGGGACAGAGAAAGAGAAAGAAAGGTGGTGATATTATAGGGAACCCGGTTCCCTTTGCCACAGCGGCAACCATTTACACGGGAGCTTCGGATCCTTTTTAATAATAAAAGCCGCTATCATTATCAGGACTTAGAGTGCTCTAAATCTTCAAAACAACTCTTAGATTTCGGTACTTTTTTAAAACCCCCGAGGAAACAGAGGCATGGGTTTAGCCAAAGCTCAGCACCACATAGCAGGAGGCAGTGGAGCCAGGATTTGAACCTGTGTGATTTGGTTGCGCCCCTTTCTCCAGTCAGGGTAGCCAGCTCCCTATTTTCCAGAGCAGTGCAGTGTTCATCCTCCGTGGTCTCACCTCCACTCCTAAAGTCTGGGGTCTCCCCCACCATGGCCCCGCCAAGGTGTGACGGAGCGATAATAACAGGATTTCTCTCTTGCAGCCAAGAGACTGGAGATTCCAAAGGAACTGGACTCGGACAGTGAAGAGTGGACCCAATACCAGTGCCTGTCCTTCCCGAGCAGGTGGGCCCCGGGCCCAGCAGCCCTGAGAAGCCGAGGAGGGGTCCAGCCCCTCCGGAGGAGCCAGAGTGCCCGGGTACCCATGCAGGGCTGTTCCCGACAGAGGTCCGCGGGGCGCTGGGAAAACATGCAGTCCCCTGTGGCCTTCAGCAGCTCCATAGTAAGTCCCTGCCTTTTCCTCTTTGATTTGCAGCTGGTCTCCATCGGGGCAAGATGGCCGAGGGCTCTTGGGCGTGGAAGGCGAAGGGCCGTATAAACCCCGAAGAGCCCTCAGAACGCCAGCCCTGGGTCTTGTGTGTAATCCTCCTGTGTGTTTTCTTGCCCATAACAATTCTTGTTAATTTCCAAAGTTCAGTATTTAGAAATCGGGAGATTTCATATAACCATAGATTGATGGCCTCTATTCTAAAACTGGAATTGGGAAAATTCTCCATACTGAGCCAGGATTCCCATGTGGAAGTAACTGCTCAAGTTACAGAGTTGATGACATTTAAACAGGACATGTGATCTTCAGTTCATCACGGTCCCCTGCCTCGCTTCTCTGTTTGTCCCCATCGCTGAGCCGAGAGCCAGCAGCATGCCCATTATGCATGTTTTTCCAACAGTACAGGTAAGAGGAGAGAGAAATATTCGCCTGCTCCTGTTTCTGTAAAGTGGTAAAACAAGAGATGAGACTACAGGCTTATGCAGTTCAAGAAAAATGTGATCATCAAAAAGAGTCTTAAATTGTTATAAAGCAAAGAACATCGATGTCAAAATTACCCATGTCAAAACTCCCTTAGGTTACCTGCCCGGTCCCTGTGGTCATTTGACCCTGCAGCTTTGGTCTGGGGCTTTCTGCATAGGGTCCCTTCACTCTTGATCCACTGAGACATCCGTCACTAAACAACCAGGTAGCAGGTGAAGAAATTGAGTTTCTTCTCCATGATTTCACAGCATTCCCTAGAAGTCAAGGCCAAGCCGGAGCCTCTGACTCCTGTCCCATTGCACTTTCCTCTGCACCATGGTCTTCCTCTAGGGGCACATCATCAGGAATCTTCTGCACTTACTGATATGGGCACAGGAAACCCCAGCTATATTGAACAACTCACACCGTTAAAGAGGAGCCTAAAGTGCTATTATCCCATTACTAGGAAATTAGATTTTCAAAATGACCCTTTCAGTGAATCCCTTCCAGTCTTTTATTTTCAATAATACAGACACATAACGAGAGAGAGAGAGAGAGAGAAACATGGATGTGAGAGAGAAACATTATTGGTTGCCTCCTGTACATGCCCTGACCGGGGATTGAACCCCCAACCTTTTAGTGTACAGGACAGTGCTCAAACCAACTGAGCCACTGTGCCAGAGCTCAATGTTCCTATCTTTAAAAAGTATCATTGGTCTGCCTCCTGAGTTTCTTTTGAGGATTTAATCGTTCAGATCATGACTTCTAGATGGATGAGTAACTAATAGAGGTTTTAAATGACCTTTCTGAAAGAAAGCTCTCTGCTTTGGACACATGCTCACATATCTGGAGACAGGGAAGGGAAAGGGGAATTTTTTTATAAATATAATGGAGAGCCCTCCCCCCCTGAGATTCTGGTACATACATTTGGTCTACAAGAGCGCCTGAGCATTCATATCTTTATTTCTGATGGTTCTAGTGAGCAACCAAGAGTGAGAACCTCTGGAAGCATGCCACCCCTCCACCACCCCCCCCCCCAGTAGGCCTCTATTGGCTCAGATAGGCCCCTTCTCCAGCTTGGAAGGCGTTAGCTGAAGCGGGTGATTGATGCCACCTTACAGAGCTGACACCCGCTGTATTGTATCTGTGGCTAGAGTGGCTGATCTTGAATTAGTCTGTGAACAATGTCCGGGGAAGCCCCGGAGGATCTCCTGGTTCCCGCCCCACCCACTCTTGGCGGGCTCTCAGAGCCTGCTGCTTCTGCCACCTGCCCATCTGGCCTCGGTCTGGTCTGACCATCTCCTGGCTCCGCCAGGTCTGGACCTTCCCTCTGTAGGCGCGGTCAGAACTTGCCTCTGAACGCCCCGGGTGCCAAGCCGTGGCGGAGCACCTGACCACATTCTGAGGGAGCCCAGTCTTGGACGCCTTGGCTCTTTGTTCTAAATCAGAAATATAATGAGTGTCAACAAGAACAACAAACGCTGCCTTTCTTATTTCACTACAAAGAACAATGAAGCATGGGTTATTTTTGCCTAATTAGCTGCTATAATATTTGTGGCTGGAGGGTGAGGTAATATACTTGTGAAAGTGGTGGGTGCTAAGCCACTTGCTTAGCAACGGACCAAGCAAGTCTCATCTGGTGGACTGACAATGGAATGCCTTTTTTCCCCCTGGTCTGGAAGCAGCCAAGATGAGAGCAGAGAGTCTTTGTTTAGAAGTGCCACTTGCAAAATGTTTTCCAGAACCATCAGACCAAAGCATATCTTCCTAATCATAACATTTCCATTGGGGACCCATGTGTCCCCAAACATCATCAGCACCACTCCATTCTGTGGGCACAGCCCCTCCTACCCCTCCGGAGAGAATGCCTCGCCCTCTGCCCCTTTCCCTTAATCTAGGTCTTCCTTTCTGTCTTAGCAAGAGATTTGCGCAGCACTGCAGTCTGTTCCCGGTCGGAGGGACAGCCCACATGCTCCCGGCCACACACCCCACCTCCCACCAGAGCTTAGATGAGAGTCTTGAGTTAATTAGCAAAGTGGAGAAAAATCTTTGGGAAGTGATGTGACCACAAAGGCAAGATCAGATAAAGGCAATCTCAGCTGTGCTTCCCTTAGTCCCCAGGGTCCCCTGTGGGGACACATAGCTGCAGTGACACTGTTCACAGATGGAAAGCTCCCTTCTCGCTAGGCCACTGAGGTTTTTTCCCCGCCTTGGGGCTTACATCCCATTTGGGGAAAGCTTACCTTAACAGTCCGTGCGTTTCCATTTAAGCACAAATTTACAAACATCAGGCCCTACCTGTTCTTGAGCCAGACTTGGTATCATCAAGGGCACAGCGTCAGCCCAGGCAACATCGCTGCCCCCAACAGTACTTCGGCCTCCAGCCCCTCAGCACTCAGGGAAGGCTGTTTCCACAACAGTAATACAACCATGCGGTTCCGCAGTCAAAAGGGACCAAGGGGCAAGTGGTAGAAAGTGGATCTCCCTCCCTTCTTCCCTCCTCTGTCCCCGCCACCCCAGAGAAACCACGGTTCACAGCTCCCTGCATCCTTCCCAGCAGTGTTTTACATACATAAAAGCACACAAGCATTGTATCCTTGTGAGCACATCGTTACTGCAAAGGGAATGGTACCCTATGCACTGCTTTAAACTTTGCTTTTTCCTTCTCACCTAATGAATCTTCGGAAATATTTCATATACAGGGTGGGGCAAAAGTAGGCTTACAGTTGTATGTGAAACAGTTTATTCTTGTATTATTATTTATTAATCATTGTACTGGGCTCGCTGAGTCAGCGCCTGTGTTGACCCAGGTGCCCGGCCGGTGCGTGTGCCTGTGGATTTGGGGCAGTACTGGCAGTGTTTCGGTTCCGGTTTTGCATCAGGCAGAGCTGGACCCCGTCCCAGCTCTTTTTCTGATTTTGTGACCTTGGACGCATTACTTAACTTCCGTGAACCTCAGTCGCCCCTTAATTAAAATGGGAGACTGACAGGAACTATTTCAATGCTGTTCCAATGATCGAATGGTGTACGTGGAAGCACTTAGCAAAGCACCTGCCTTTGCTCTAAGTTTTCAGTAAGTGTATGTGAGGATAATAATAGGATCCTTAGGGTATCGAGTGAGGTGCGAGGTTACCTTCCCCAAAGAGGGTCCGTATGAGCTTTAGGTCGTTCGCAATAGAAAGAAATCCAACCAGCTGGGGTCCGGCTGCTACAAGCACTCATCTCATCGGTGGCCCCACAAGGTTATATTTCTTTTCCTTCAGAGAAGTAGACGAATCAAAGGGCCCAAGGGCGGGAAGGACACTGCTTTCTCTAACTGTCCTAAGTGCCCCGATCCTGAATGTTCATGGGCCAGACAGGAAACCAGTGGGCTGTGGGCAAAGGGGGACGTGGAGACCTTGCCCTGCAGCAACAAGTCTGTCGTGACTGGATAAACTTAAGTGACATCTGTGGCGGACACCTGCAGGCTGGGCCCACTGCCAGCGCCAGAGAGAAGTAGGTCCTTTGCAGAGATTTTTTTTGAATGCGTCCCTGTACGATTGGGCGCAAGTGCGCTAAAGAGGAGCGTGAACAAAGAGGCCCCGTGACCTCACTGTGCTGAGGTGGCGTGGCGTCCTAGCTGGGAGTCAGCTGACAGAGGTTTGCGTGCTGCAGTCTGCCAGGTCCTGGGAACACATGACGGCCTCTCCTCATGGCACTTAGACTAGAGGGTAAGTGGTCATGCAATAAATAACCGTTAAATCATTTTAACTGTGTCACCATTTGGAAACACATAACACAGAGCTTACGGCAAAGGGAAGGGTGTCAGAGTCTGGGGGTCAGGTGACGGGAAAGCTGCCCCGGTTCTGACCTGAATTCAGTGTGTGATCTTAAGCAGTTCACACCCCTTCTCTCGGCCATTCAGTTTTATTGTTTTATTGTCACAAAATAGGGGTTTTTGGCTTTGACGACCTCCAAGCTGGTTCCCAACTCTGGGCATCGGTGGTAAAGATTAGAAGCACCCCACTCATGTAGCCCCCTCTCCCCCCAGCAAAGTATCTATTTCCTGAAGAAGAAAGATTCCCATAACTCCTTTGTAAACTCCTGGACTGTCCGCTGAGCCCTAAGGATTAGGTACACGAACCCATCCGTTGTGTTTGGGGTGCCAGGCATGAAAGATGCTGGCCGCCAGCAAGGGCCGGAAGGTCCCTTTCCTTTCATAGGGACCTTCCCTGGCCTAGAGGTTGAGAGTGTGCGTTTTAGGGTCAGATGATGTCCAGTTAGCTGATGTCAGATTATCTTGAATCACCTGAAGGAATTTCTCCCCTTTATGGTGTGACCTCCAGGGAGACACATAGTCTCCCCAGAGAGCAATTTCCTCATCTGAAATATGAGGTAATTGGGAGGACTACTGTACTCTTTAAACTTTAAACCAAACTCCAAATACTGGTAGGAATGATCTTACATGGAAACGTCTTTGCAGAATGGCTTTTGTCATAGCTAACTGTTGAAAGCTGATGGTTGCTGGAAGCTTCAGACAAAGCAGGGGTCAGAGATCTAGAAGATTCAGCTTTGTGGTAAATGCAGTCTCTCTGTCTTTGAGGCTCTAACCTCATCTCCAGAGAGGACATAAGAAATTTGGACTTAAAACACAGGTCAAGGTATAGTGAATTCCAAATGGTGGTGCAAGTGGTAACTTCTACAAAGATGTCAAAAATCGGAAACCCACGGACCTCGCCCACAGATTAAAAATAATAATGAGTTCTCAGATCATCTCTGCTTTATCTCAAATAATCAAGGGGCTTGGCAAAGCTGGCCAGCACTGGGGCATTCCAGCAGCAGAGCAGCGGCCAGCCTTTCGGTGGGGCGGGGCCGGCCGGCTCTCCCAGCCCCCACCGTCCCACAGCGCCCTCCTCTGTGCTTCGGCCCCCTTCCCTCATTCGCCTGGCCTGCCTGACTCCTGTGGATTCTGAGGCAGGAGCCAGCAATTGTGGCTCGGAAGACAGAGAACTCATTGTGGGCTGGATAAGCTCTCATGGACACGTGGGACTTCTCATGGTTGTTGAAGTCGACGTAGGATTTTGGTAGACAGGAGGAGACTTTCCAAACAAGGTGCGATCAGAGGCATAGAACAGGAGTTTTCATCCGCGAGGCAGCAAACAGACACCTGGCTAAGCTGGGTGTGTGTGTTTAGAAGAGGTGGGAGCAAAGAGCGGAAAGCAGACTGCAAACAGGGTAGGTGACAGAGTCCATTGATCATGTTAACAATGGAGATCTCCCGAAGGTCTGTGGACCTCAAGAGTGCCTGAGGGAAATGGTGTTGTAGGAGGATGCACAGGTGATACATACGAAGGGTTAGAAGGAAAAAAGGTGAGAGGCCGCAACATCAGTTGGGAGGTGATGCAGAAATCCAAGGTTGAGGGCTGCAGGATCTGAGCCTGGGGGGTAGCGTCAGGACGGCGGGGAGAGGCTGTGAGCGGAGAATTGCCAGAGCCTGGAACTGATGGGCGTGTGGGCGAGGGAAAGGGAGGCATCAAATGGGAATCTGCCGTGACCAGGCCCGCAGGACGGGGAGTCAGCAGGATTCAAGAGTGCAGGGAGGACGGTCATTTCTTCCCCAGGCATGCAAAGAACCTGCTGGAAGGGACCTTCCTTTAGGAAAGACTCACCCAGTTCTTTCTCTTCCAGGAAAAAGATGTGACTCCAGATAAAAACCTACTGACCAAGGTGCAAGAGGCTGCCCTGTGGCTGGGGGCCTTGCCGGGCTCCAGGCCCGCCAGGCCTGGCGTCTCCACCACCTCCTCCATCGCTGACTTCTTCCTCGCGCTAACCATCTGCAACTCCGTCATGGTGTCCACAACCACCGAGCCCAGGCAGAGGGTAGGGCCCGGTGGTGGTGGGGTGACGGGGGTGGGCGAGGAGGGGTAAGGGCAAGGGGTGTGGCCCCGAGCAGGAGGACAAGACACTTGGGCCCTGGCCCCACAGTGTCACCATTTCATTACTCCGAGACCTTGAACTCGTACCCTTTCTGGACCTCAGTTTCCTCATTTTTTAATAAAAAATGAAAACAGTTCTATATGAGCTCTCTGTGTAGCTTTCAAATTTTGCGTCTGTCTGTCTGTCTGCAGGGTAGATATTAGGAGTTAATATTTACTAAACCCAAAGATGTCAGGGGTGCAGGAAACATCTAGCCTAATGGCCTCGTTTTCCAGGAGGGCGAACCGAGGCTCACCTAGGGGAGGAGATTCGCCCACAGGGAAGAAGGCCCAAATAATTGATTTATTACACAGTGACTTTCAGGTTCTGCCATAAGACAGCTTGATATTTTTTTTCCAACATTGAGAGTAACATTCTCTTTCCCTCCTTTGATCTCAAGGTCACCATGCCACCTTCAACCAAGGCTCTGGGGACATCGCTGGAGAAGATCCAGCAGCTCTTCCAGAAGTTGAAGCTGCTGAGCCTCAGCCAATCTTTCTCATCCAGTGCGCCCTCTGATGCCACCCTGGGGGAGAGTTTGGGGGCCAACATGCCCACTACAGACTCAGATGAACGAGAGGACGACGCGTCAGTGTGCAGTGGAGGCTACTCCACTGATGGCGGCTCTAGGAGCAGCACATGGGACCAAGGTGACATGCTGGCGTCTGGGCCGGGCGCCTCCTTAGAGGAAGTGCTGGGGGACCCGGCCCTAGGCCTGGCCAGCTCCGAGCTCTGTTACGAGGCCGAGAGCCCCGACGAGGCCGCCCTGGTGCACGCTGCCAATGCCTACAGCTTCACACTCGTGTCCCGGACACCCGAGCAGGTGACCGTGCGCTTGCCCCAGGGCACCTGCCTCACCTTTGATGTCCTCTGCACCCTGGGCTTCGACTCTGTCAGGAAGAGGATGTCTGTGGTCGTGAGGCACCCGCTGACAGGGGAGATCATCGTCTACACCAAGGGCGCCGACTCGGTGATCATGGACCTGCTGGAAGACCCCGCCCGCGGTGAGTCCCCCTCCCCAGGGCTCCGGGAAGAGAGGGCTCCGAGGTGTAAGAGGGAGCATGGAACAGTAATGGCGCGCTCCAGTTACAGCAACACTAGGTCCAGCAGGTTCCTGCGGAACACGGGCCCACGTGCTGCTCTCCTCAAAGCAGGTTCCTTAACACATGCTCCATGCCACTTCTCCTCGACCTGGAGAAGCACGGTCTTGTAAGAGCAAAGCCCCTTTTTCACCCAGTTTCTAGTTTTCCAAACTCATTGAAACATGGAGTATCCATACACGATTTTTTACTAGGACATCGATTAATATACCCTAGAACATGCTGTGCTCCTAACTCTTAGTTTTGGAGAGAAGCCCACCGAACCCAGAGAGCAAAGTGACCTAAGAGAGGAGGCACGGTAACTAGGGATAAACCCCCGGGCCAGGCATGCACACTGAAGCCCAGCCAAGCGCTCCGTCCCTGCTGCCAGAACTCCACGCAGGGCCCGGTTCACACTGGGAAGCCTCAGGTGTCCCTCTTTATCATCCTTTTCCCCAGCCTCTCCCAAATGGATTTTCATAAACCTGCACCAAGCCAGAAAAACGTTCCAAAGTCTCTACCTATCAGTGTCCAATTTTGGAGCAGCATGAATTAGTGCACAGCCGCTCCTTGATTACTAACAAGGAGAAGACAGTGATGGGGCTATGATTCTCCCAGGACAGTGGGTTCCAGCCAAGCTTTAGAATTGCCCAGGCAGCCCTGTGCCTCCTGCATTATCAGCTATGGAGCAAAGCCAAGAGGTTCATGGGGATTGATGAGTGTTTAGAATGGGAAGGGAGCTAATTAGGTCTCTTCATCCCCAGACTCTGGCAGACAAGCGAATTCAGTGTTTCTGAGTCAAGGGAGCCACAACATTCTGTCCCTGGGCCACAGCCATCAGAGCTACCCTGGAGATGTTTTTTTCATTTGTTCCTCGGCCAATTGCAAAATGGATTAGAGATGGTCCCAATAAAAGACTCATGAGCAATGTTGATATAAAGAACTGAGAACTAAAGCTTTGAAATGGAGGGGGGAAAAAAATAACCCTGTGCTTAACATATTGATGGTTCGAACATCCAATTGGACCCTGAGGTTTCTGTTAGCCCAAGCAAAACAGGTCAATTCAAAGGTAACCAGATAGAAGGCAAAAGGGTTTAATCTTAGAAACTGATGTCTTTGGAAATAAAATATTGCAAATAGTGTTCAATAAGACAATGCATAAAGGCGGTGCTTAAGGCACCAGGGAAACAGTAATACCTTCTGAAAAAATGAGAAAATAATCTTTGAAAGACTTTTTGCAGTGTATAAAAACAGCCTTAGACAGATGTCATGGGGGGGGGGGGGGAATCAGAGCTCGTTGGGCTTTCTTATACTTATCTTATGTTTTAATATTGTATCTTTAATTTTGCATTATATGGAGGGATGGATGAAGTGCTCCAAATCTGTTCACTACTTAGGGCCTTTGAAGATCTCTATTAGATCTGTTTAAAACAAAAACAAAAAACAAACAAAAAAAATGACACTTTTTTGGAGCTCAGCTTTGTAAAGTGCTGCAATTGATTGGTGATGTCTGCGACATCTTAGATAAAATAAATGGTGATAGCATCAATCCCGCCCCATACCCACAAACCCAGGATGAAAAATTATTTTCATCTGGTAGATAAAAGTATTGGAATTTCAAAAGGAAAAGATAACTTTTTCTAAAAGAAATATATTATATAGGACTTCATAAAGGGGACTTTGAGCAACACAATGAAGTATTTTTCATTCTAAACACTACATTGGTAGGAAATGCAAAAAAAAAAAAATTTCTAAGACCATTTCTTATCTAAAAAGAAAAGCTAATACAGCAAACCCAGTATGGCAAAGCATTTAGCAATGAGAGTCAGGTCCAAAGCTGTCTTGGGACCAAACTTGATATAAGGGTGGAAGTAGATGACAGAGAAGATGCTGGATAGTTTGTCTAGCACTTAGCAAAGAGCTGGTTATCCAGGGCTAAAGAAACTACAAAGAAAACATAGAGATAATAATAGATTCAGATTTCTGGTCCCCTGATTCAGCAGAGCTTCAGCTGAGCCTGGAAATCTCTATTATTTGTTGAAGTTCTTAGAGAATTCTGAGGCAAACAGCTGTTTGGGAACAACGCCTTAGACCATCTATGCTCCTGAAATAGTGCTTTGCCCAGCCAGGCTTTTGACAATCAGCTATAGAGGGCAGATTGAAGGACCCCCAAAGTTACCACATCACCTTCCTGGACTCCCTGACAGCCAGGAGAGCTCTGTTTCTGGGGAGGGCTGTAGGGCATTCCTCTACTAAAGAGTCCAGAATGTTAGGAAAGGGGATTCCAAAGCATTTGTATGTGATCTCATGTGGACAATGACTATCACACAGTCACTGATGTCGATGTGGAAAAGAAGATGAGGAAAATCCGAGCCCGGACCCAGAAGCATCTGGACTTGTATGCAAGAGATGGCCTTCGAACTCTGTGCATTGCCAAGAAGGTGAGAACAAATTCCTTTCAGTGGCTGAAGGGCCTCAACCCTAATTCTGTATTTTCTACTCCTTTTTAGAAGACCCTTGATGTTGGTTGCTGTGATACTTCCAAAGTTAGCTACTTTGACTCACCACAGACCCATGACTTTAACAATTCAGAATGTCAAGGTTCCCTATCATTGTGGCTTTGCTCTATCCTGCCTTGCAGTGTCTATATAAACTGGTAATCCCTAACTCATAAAATAATTTTTAATTTATAATTTTGCCTTCAGCATATTCTTTTAAAACGTTCATTATTTGCATAGATTTGGAATTTGGCAAACTTTATGCGATCACATAAAAATCTAAATTTCTGGTTTCTCTTGAAAATGTAGAGGACCTGTCAAAGTGGCTCCCCATTATTGAAGGGCAACAAATAGCTGCACCCTGTTGCAGCTGATCCGTGATGAGGAATGTATTCTGCTGTGTATGGTTGGTCACAGGCCCAGCATTCCCTGTAGAATCGTCCTTGTCCCAGCTGTAGTGATGTGGCTTACCCACCGCAGCCCCTGCAGGTCTTTCACTTGGCACAGAGGTAGACAGAAAGACCGATAAATCCCAGAGCACGGACATCTAATGAGGCACCTAAGATCAGGTAGGGGAGCTATGATGGGCATAGATTTCTAGAGGCTAGATTGATTTCTGCCCCATAAATCCCCAAGAGCTCGTCTCCTTTATGATGCTTAGGTAGCCATAAAAATGTAAGAGTTAATGGTTGAAACCTGTAAAAGCCACCCACTTGGAAGCCAGACCAACCTGGTACAAGTCCAAAGCTCATCCCTTATCTGTTGTGTGACCCCTTACGTGTTGTGTGACCTTGAGCAAGTTTCTTCACCTCTTGGAGTTTTGGATTTTCTTACCTATAAAGTGGTGTCAGTGCTCCTTTCCACCTACAGTTGTCATGGAGATTAACTAAGGTAACACATGTACATGGGACAGCAACCGGTGTTTACTACTTTATAGATTGTAATTACACCTTTACCACCTTCTATTTTCCATTGAAATTATTTGTGCCTATTTCGTCTCCTCTAATAAGACTGAATTTCACAGGAGCAAAAGGCCCCTGTGTCCCCTTGGTTTTCCCTATAGTGCCAATCACAGAGAAAAAGAATATTTGATGTTTGGACAAAAGAATTATCTGTTGCTCTAAGGGACAGTATTCATGTAATGCCAACAGAAGGGTCTAAGAAAGTGCCAAGGGACTGCAAAGGAGGAAGACATGTTCTCTAGCTGTATTCTTCCAGCTTTTGGGTACCACCTCCAATAGCCAGCTGATGGAACATTCTACCAGGCTATGCAAGATCTGGTTGCTGCTTACCTTTCAAGCCTCATTGCTGGCTCCTTTCTATCTGGCTCTCCATCCCTCAACCAACTGGTGTATTCAGGGAAGAGACAAAACCAAGTTCAAAGCTATTTCTCAGCCTTTGCACTTGCCCCTCCTCATGACTGAACCCTTTCCATCCCTGGATCTCAACTTGCATGTCACCTCATTTAAGAGACCTGAAGATTCTAAGGCAGCAGCCCCTCTTCCCACAGCTATCCGCCTACTCAGTAACCCACACATCATCATATCATCCTCTTTAATTTCTGTACAGAGCTCCTTGAAATGACCTATTTTTTAAAATTATTTACTTGGATAATCTCTCTCACCCTCTGGTAGCACGTAAGCCCAGGGGTACAGGGATCTTGTCTCTCTCGATCACTGCTATATCTCCAGTGCCCAGAGAAGGACAAAGCTCAACAGATGTTTGGTGATAATGAACATAATTGATTCCTTGACTCATGTATTTAAAGAAACAATCATGAGGGACAAAGCCCTACCAAACTGTGTAAAGATCCCCTGACTGGTATCGCTCAGTTAGTTGGGTGTCATCCTGCAAAACGAAAGGTTGCCAGTTCAATTCCCGGTCAAGTCACATGCCTACGTTGCAGGTTTGGTCCCTGGGTCAGGGCACATGCGAGAGGCAACTGACTAATGTCTCTCTCTCACATCAATTTCTCTCTCCTTCTTTTTCTCCCTCCTTTCCCCTCTCTCTCATAAAATAAGTTATGTAGAGAATCTCAAACAGACACATGGGAAGGGTGAGAGATTCACTCAGAGTTGTGAATGAGTCTGTTCCTGTCCCGTAGGTCCTAAGTGAAGAGGACTTCCGGAGGTGGGCCAGTTTCCGGCATGAGGCTGAGGCAGCCCTCGACAACCGAGAGGAGCTTCTGATGGAGACCGCACAGCATCTGGAGAATCAGCTCACCTTACTTGGTAGCTAAAAATAAGTCCTCATGAAATGAAAAATAAGAACGCAGCAAGCTGGGAAGGGAGTTCTTGGCCCTGATTCTGACACTGGTACAAATGTGTCTCAATTAGGAGCCTTCCCTGGGGTGCCTTTCCGGATATTTGGCATGAACAGGCTGTGCCAACATGCCACCCAGACTCCACACGCAGCTTCCTGAGGGTGCCCAGGAGCATTCCCGCACTCTCTGCCGTGTGAAGCCTAGGGGTTTGGTTGCTTCTCCTGCATTCGCTCAAACGTTTACTGAGCACCTCCCTTGGCCTGGGGGCCTAGGACGGTGCGGGCAGGCTGGACTGAGTGGAGAAGAGGGGCTGGTCAGGCCGAAGGGGAGAGTGTTCCCGGCGTGGAGGTGAGCAAGCCTGGGCCGGCTGGTCAGTCGGGTCTGCCGTGGCTGGACCGCGGAGGATGGGGGAGAAAGGACCCGGATTATGAAGGGCCATGTAAATGACATGCCAAATGTTCAGAGAGGCAAAGGGAGTGAAAGCAGGGATAGAGTCAAGCTTCACGGAGGCGACTGCTGTGCAGAAGTGAGGCTGACCTGCTGGGGAAGACCAGCGGCACGCAGACCCCAGTTCAGACGCCGCGTGGTATATTTCTGTTAGACAGAAAGCCTGGCTGAGAGGGAGGGGGCTTTATCTATCAGGATCTACCTCACAGCTCAGGAGTGAGACCTCAGAAAGGCCCTGCGGGAACGGCACGCACCCAGGGGCCCCTGATGGCTTTCTTTCATCTCGCGAGGAGGTGCTGCCCTGGACATGAGGGCCGCCTCTTGGCCCTGTCGAGACCTTGCCGTGTGCCCAAGGACACATCCTCGCTGCCCTCTGAGCCTTGGCTTCTCTGGATGAAACACACTTCCCCACACTGCCCACCAGGCCAGCATTTCTATAAGAAGAGCACGGTCCCTTTCTGTGCAGAGGCGGCAGCAAGTTGTGGCGAGATGGGCGGCAGTGGGGGCGGGAGTGTTGCTCCCCACCTCCTCCCCCTTTTGTTTCCATGTTTCGGCTGCGGGGGCCTTTGTCTGCTGCCTCACAGAGCCCCCTTGAAAGCTGGTCACAAGAACTCATTTCAACAGGAACCAGAGGGTAGCTAGGCCACAGTTCTATCCGCCACACAAGGTCACTGGAGCGTCATCCCATTAGGGCGCTGACCCCTCCTCACCCCCCAAGGTTTCGGGGAGCACTCTGGTCTCAGTGGGTGAGAAGGGCTCTTCAGCTTGAAAGGAGAGCATATTTGTCAGGACCTGCCGGCTTCCTTGGCAGGGGAGGGTTTTCTCAGCTGCCCTGTTTCATTTTCTCTTTGACACAAATAAATGTGTTTTTCCTCCTCTCTCCTTCACTCTGCCTCCCTGTAATACAAATCAGCTTCAGAGGCCCACCTCCCAAGCTAAGCCTGGAAGGGAAGATAAGGCCAGGCCCGCGCTCTTCCAGGGGTGGTGTACCTGCGTGTTTGGGCCTTGGCTCCAAAAAAGGCCCGCTTTGGGACAGAGAGGCTGTCTTTCTCCCCTCGGGGCGGCTCTGGAAGCAGATGGCGGCGGCCAGGCCGAGATGTCGCCCTGCCACCAAGAAACTGGCCTGCCCTTACAAAGCTGCCTGGCACTCACGTTCGGTCCCACAATGAAATGATCTTTTCACTATGCATCTGGCGTAACGGGTTTGCCCACCTATTGTCACTCGATATTATTGAAAGAAATGAAATGCCATGCTCCTGCCCGGAGTGAAATGGGTCTGTGCTCTGCAATGAATCTCAATTTAAATGCTGGCTTATTTTTGCTTAATCACTGCTATTCAATATTTGGGTTGGTGCAAAGCTGGTGATGATTCAAAAATTAGGGAAGCTGCATGTTTAATTCTCTCTGAGAATATTAGCAAAAACCTGGGTCTCTATTAACCCTGCCAAGAGCGGTCGCACAGAGAAGATTCCGGCCCCCGTCCCCCTCCGCCCCACTGCCACTGTGCCCGCTCGTGCTCAGCCCCTGTCGGCCCTGAGTTAATCCACCCTGCGGGCTCCAAACTCCAATCAGTCCTCTAGGATGATGTTCTGAAAACTCAAAACTGATCCTGCCACTCTCCAACTTAAGTCCTTATAATAGCTTTCTCGGCTGCAAAATAAATTCCAACCCTTTAATGCCCTGATCAGCAAAGCCTTATCTCCTGGCCCCCGCTCTCCCCAACACTGCCTCCTCTTCTGTGCCTTCTCTTCCTCTGACCCCTGGGCCTTGACACCTGCTGACCCCTCTACTTGGAATTCTCTTCCTTCTCCACCTCCGGGCTCTATCTTCCAGGTCTGAGCTTAAAGGCCATTTTGTCAGTAAGGCCTTCTCTGACCTTCCATGGTACCCTGGGCCTCTCACGTAGCTCCGCTCGGAACCCTTAGCAACAGGCCTTGGAGCTCCGAGAGGGCAGGGACCAGCTCTGTGTGTCTCAGTGCTATGCCCTGGGTGCTTAGCACAGCCTAGAACGTGGAAGATATTTAATAATTACTGCCTGCCTTGATAGGGCTTTGGGGAAATTAAGCAGCTATTTTTCCAGCGTAACTGCTGTCTGGTGGCTCTGATCCCTCCAGGAGCCACTGGGATCGAAGACCGGCTGCAGGAAGGAGTGCCGGACACAGTCGCTGCTCTGCGGGAAGCTGGCATCCAGCTCTGGGTCTTGACTGGAGATAAGCAGGAGACAGCGGTCAACATTGCCTATGCCTGCAGACTGTTAGATCAGACCGACACTGTGTACTCCATCAACACAGAAAATCAGGTGAGGACAAAGCAGGGCCCAGATGTCCAAGTGCAGCGTCACCCTCAGGCCAACTGGAGATGGGCTCATGGGTGGCGTCTGGGTACAGGAGGAGGCCCCCCTACCAAAAGCTTGGGGCTCAGAGGGCCCTGGAGTCATCTAGCCCAGGACCCTCTACCTGTCACCCATGTGGGCTCGGCCGGTGTATTTGTATCACGTCTAACAGTACATATTAGAAAGTTAAGCCTCTCCCGGAGTCCACCCTTGGCCCAGCCTCCTCATTCTACGTAGGAGGAAACCAAAGATCATGGAGCCTGTCACCTGCCCAGGGGCACCTTGGGGTTTCTGATTAAGCCTAGAAAGCCACCCTCCTTCATGCCACTGCTGACTGCATGACACCATACTGCTTGCTCACAGAACCTCAATGGTATAATGGTTCACTTGTTATACTTCGGATTAACTCATCCATTGGGGAAAAAACTTCAATTACATTGAAATGATTCTGAGTTTAAAATTTCAGCTCCAACTTGTAAGTCAGATTGGTTTGCCACCTTCCCTGAAGGGAATGATCCGTGAGACCGGTACATTTTGATGGGCTAGGAGAGAGAAAAGCAAAGTTACTGTGAACACTGTGATTTTCAACCCAAATAGATCGTTAGTGGCAGGGAGCAAGTTCTGGAAACGGGGCTACGTACAGTCTGAAGAATATTCAGAGTTGTAACACAATGTTATATTTAGGAAGAAAAATCGATCTTCACAATGCCAACTGCAGAAAATAAACTTCCACCATCTCCTTGGGTGATGAATATGGGAAGTGGCCATTGACTCGTCTGCTCCTACCAAAAGGAAGCAGGGGACGGATTAGATGTGGGGCGTTAATGAGGAAAGCAAGGCATGGCAGAGGCGGTGAGTGGGGCAGGGCCTGGAGACCGAGGACATGCCACGGGGAAGGATGGAGCAGAGCGGAGGATGGGAAAGGAAAAGACCAGCACAGAAAAGGGGAGAAGGGTGATAGACTCTCAGGCTTTCAGTTTTGCCTGAAGCCGATCAGGATCCAAAAATGTGTGAGGTTTACATTTGATTTTTATTTCATGAAGAATACACATACACATTTTTTTTAAGGGTAGTGTAGACTATGAAAAGTGCCTAAGGCCCTTTAAATTAATTGGAAAAATCATTTACTTTCTTGTCAGGTGCACAGATGATGCTATAGTTAGATTAAGCCCCAAAGATTTTGAAAATGAAAATAATCTCGGGGAAATCTTTGGCATTAATATTATGCTTAGGAGAAAAAGTAATTTGCAGCTTGCTTGAGTGCTCGATCCCTGCAAGAGCGTTGATATCTTCCTGCCCTGCTGACAGTGGAAATTTTGTTTGCAAAGATTATTTCACTCAAGGTGATTCTAAAAGGACATCGAAAACCTGTGAGCCAGCTGGGGGTGGGGGGGGCGGGGTCTTCTGTGGGCTCTGTTAAATGCAATGCATTCCTGTAGGAAGCTGAGATATTTGTTGATTAATTAGCCAAAGTCTCTAAGGAATGGTGGGCCACACTGCACATTGAGTTCAGTCACCGTCAACTTTTAAAGTTGTCTGGGACCCTCCAAGATGGTGCCTGAACATTAGGCCCCTGGGAGATAAGTCTATGAATCTTTCCTGTCCCCTTGTCTGGAGGGAAAGGAGTGGGTACCTAGATATGTCAAGGCAGACACTGGGGAAATCCATTCTAAATCACAGGTTTATTCAAACACCCACTTAATGTAATTACATATTCAGTGGATATTTCCTCCATGCATTTTTATCTACCTAATTCATTATAAATTGATTTAGAGCTACTGTTTCTTTATTATGAATCTTAAAGCTATAAGCAAGTTAGCAGGCCTGGGTAGACCCCAGGGTTCTCATCCATAAGATAAGAATTAACAACCCGTCACTGGAAGTGTTGGTCTGTCATGGAATCTTAGATGGGACTGTAGTGTTACATAGGAACTAATAACAGCAACCACTATTGTTATTATTAACGACATATCAGAAGGCTTGATATTGTCCAGATACCATAACTCTCTGAACTTCATTCTCTTCAACTGTAAAATAGAAATGTTAAAATATTTATTTCAGAGGCTATTTGGGTTGATTGAATAAGATCATAGAATGAAAATATTTATTAGCACAGTATTTGAATTAGTTGGCAAATTACGTCACAGTTGTCATCGCAGTTTCTGTGCGTCAGCGGGCCAGGAGTGGCTTAGGTGGGTATGCTCTCCGGTTCAAGGTCTCTCTTAAGGTTTCAGTCAAGGTGCCAGGGTTGTGGGCTCATCTAAATGCTCAGCCGGGTAGATCGTTTGGGAACGCAGAGGAGTCCTGCAAACTCACGGGCGCGATTATTAGCAGGCCCTCCGTTCTTGCCACGTGGTCCTCTCCGCAGGCTTTGCAACGTGGCAGCTGGCTTTCCCCAAGGCAAACCATCCAAGGCCGAGTGAGGAAGACTGCTTTGTGGGCAGCCAGTCCAAAAACTAGCCTGGGGCGTAAGGTGCCATCACTTGTGCAGAACTCCCTTCATCAAGAAGGGGCTGCTAGTCCTAGCCCACACTCAAGGGGAGGAGGTCACACAAGGGCGTGAACTCCAGGAGGTGGGAGTCACTGAGAACCATCTAAGAGGCTGCCTCCGCTAGTATCTGACATACACTAAATGTTAAATGAGTGATAACTCCTGTGATTATTACATAGAAAATTCAAAATAAGTATATTTGGAAGCTTACATTTCCCAGGACTTACTATGGTCCTGTGTTGAAGGAATCTTATTTAGTCCAACCCCAGCTTCAGCGAGGACTATCTTGATCTCTTTCCCAAGCAAGTGTTTCAGGTATAACCAGCGGCTCCTCAGACTACTTCCGATGGCCGCGTGCACTCTGGGCATACCTGATTGCCCCTCAGCGTCCCCTCAAGGAAGGATCAGGAATAACGAACTGCATTCCTACTCACTCCAGAAGAAATTATAGCGTTCCCAGAAGCTTCTAGATCAATGGTTCCCAAACCTGCCATTTCAGAACAACTTGCACAGTGCTTTCCAAAATCCACATATTACCTGTACTGTTTTTTATGTAATGATTTCACTTAAATTGACTCACTTTGAACATTTAAACATTTATTTTTAGGAGAAATATTTTTGGCATGACAGTAAAGGAAAAATCGTCACCCTGTGCCATGCATAAAAATATACTGCTAAGTAAAGACCGTGTAGCAACACAATGCTGTTAAAATTGATGATACAGCCGCCCGCCACAGCGTTTCTCTATCTTTACTTAAGAGTGAGTTTTACAGAAGGTAAAGAGGATTAAGAATATATTTAGAACCCAAATCTGATTTGGTATCTGATACAATCAAAAGTAATGGAGGAGAATTGATAAAAAGAAATAACTTCTTCACTATGTTTCAGGGGAGACACCAGAAAAAATAAACAGTTTCTTTAAACCAGTAAGACTTTCACATCCATGGTCAGTTTTAAACAATGTGACCAGCACAGTCATACCAAAAGATTAACACATAGTTGATGTCGTTTTACCATTAAGCCACGATTTGAGTGGTAATGAGCTGCCTCCACTACTAAACTGGATGACCTTGGACACGTTACTAAAAATTTCATAGTTGCCATTTCTTCATCTCTAAACTAAAGCTGGTAATAATGCCCCCTACAAAGTTACCACACAGGAATGTTCTGAGGAAAGAGGAGATCTGAAACAACGGATTCACAGAAAGCCTGCTAGCATGACATGTTGCCAGCTATTTACCATCAGATTAGGTTTATTATCACATACCATCCCTATATCTGTCCCTGTCTTGCTGAGCTAGTTCCATTCCCGTTCTCAAGCCATCTCCCCTATTTTGGACATTAATTTGATTCCAAATTAATATTGCTTCGGTGCTGTTTGAAATATTGCAGGGAAATGTAAAAATCAGAGAAGGATCCCTAGGTGAATAATCTGTAGGATGGTAGAGTTTTATAACTATTTTACTGAAGGATCAAGTGAGATTTTAAACCTACATTTCCAATGTTGCTAACGAATACCAAATGTATTATTCTGACTCTTTACAGGAAACCTGTGAATCCATCCTCGACTGTGCGCTGGAAGAGATAAAGCAATTTCATGGGCCACAGAAGCCAGGACGCAAGCTCTTCGGGTGGCGCCTGCCTTCTGAGACACCTCCCCCCACCTCCGAAGCCGCAGTTCCAAAGGTTGGCCTGGTCGTCGATGGGAAAACACTGAATACCATCTTCCAGGGAAAGCTGGAGAGGAAATTTCTGGAGTTGACCCAGTACTGCCGGTCTGTCCTCTGCTGCCGCTCCACCCCGCTCCAGAAGAGCATGATCGTCAAGCTGGTGCGAGACAAGTTGAGAGTCATGACGCTTTCCATAGGTACCCGTCATGCTGAGGTGCGGGTGGCAGTCTGGGAAAGCTGCTCTGGCGAGAGGCCTGGACCAGAGGTGGGGCACGGTGGGGAGGCTGGGTATCTAAGTCCAGATGCATAAGGTTGAGGGTCGTTGTCGTAGAGGGACAGAGGTCAAGGTGACAAGATGTGGCAACCAGGAGACGAAGCACAGGCTAAGCAGAGTGGGAGAGAGAACCAAAGTTCTCAGGATTAACAGGAAAAATCGGGACCTGGAGGGAGGGCAAAGCCAAGAGGGGCCTCAGAGTTGGGACATCCAGGTGGCTCAGTAATATACACACAGGCCAACTCAATTGTGGGATAAAGACCATCTCCCTTCCAGACTTAATATATGGTGCAATCCTGTGAACCTTGGGTGTCTGGGGATTTGATATTCTGCTGAGTGTGGATGGCTGGTGGGAGATTTAAAAGTTAGGCCTGTCCCATATTTAATTTTGTATTTTCGTTCCTAAATACAAGCATATACTCAATTAAATGCAGGCTTGTTGGTTGATGAAGAATTCTTCATAGGAGACTAAACTTTAATCACGGCTGAGGCAGAGAAATAAAACCTGTCCTTACTTCAGACCTTCCAGGACAGGATTCTTGTAAACCTTACAAGAATCTTACTGATTGGGTCTCCATTAACCCTCCAGCCATCTCTCCCCTCAGCTTCCAACCCAATGAAACTGCTCCCCATTCTCCGTGAGCCTTGTCCTCCCTCCCCCTCCCAACTTCCAGGCCTTTGCGCAAGCTGCTTTGTCTGTCAAACGCTCCTTCTCCCAGTCCCACCTAACCTCCCTTTTCTCTGGGACCTCCCCTGGCACACAGCCCTCCTAGCTCCAAAGTGCTCGTATGCTTTCTGTGGTGGCCTGCTCAGGAGACCAGGAGTCCCAGCGTAGAGGGACAGTGTCAGTCTTACCCACCATTTCATCCCACACCCAGCACATACCACACAGAGTAAAGAGTGCATTTATTTAGGGACATTCTTACAGATGGTTTCAGGTTCTCTCCTTCCTACATAGACATGGAGAGATTTTTCCTTCCTGGTATTCCATATAAGGAGCCTATTATACATTGTTTTTTCTCCTGGTATTTAGGTAAAAGCAAGTCAAAAAGATAGGGGAGCAGGCACAAAAAAATACAGGGAGCAGAGCTTTTGTCACTACATTCTAATTTTATTCCCCTGAATTGTCCTCTTCAAACTTCAGACACACACAAGGCAATAGCCCAGGACTGATTCCCTGAAGAAAGAGATTGGCTTCACTCCCATAGCAACAAAAACAAAACCAGTGGGGCGAGAAATAGCATGATTATACACCTCTACTCCCACTGGTTTGCTAACAGAAGAGGGTAAAGGTTGGATTTGTTCTGCCACCGGGAAAGATTAAAATTATGTGCTGCTCTGCTATCAAGAAAGAAAAATCACTCTAAGAATAATGGCTACTTATAATGACACAATTCTTAAGATCAATACATTTTGTTGCCAAATAATTAGGGGAAGAAAATTCTCTCCCCCACTGCCATATATTCTATGACATCTAATATAGATTTAATTGCAGATTATGAGAACCTACTGGAAAGAGGTGGGGTCAGAGGGTTAAGGCAATTCAATCTACAAGCCACGCCCCACAGGCTGAATCCAGCCCTCTGTGTGTTTTTAAAGGGATGCTAAGAATGGTTTTTATTTTTCTAAATGTAAGGACAGTTGTTCAGTTTTGCTTCTTGGCCGACAAAGCCTAAAATATTTACCATCTGGCCCCTTACAGAAAAAGTTTGGTAAGCTCTAGTGTGAAAGATAAAGCATTAGGAAGAACCAGGCTTGTAAGCTATACTGCTCCTTATCCAAAGTGATTGCCACCCATCTATCTGTGGCTATTGACATTTAAAATTAAACAGACTTTCACCAGCCGCATTTCAATAGTTGCATGTGGCTAGTGGTTTCCATACTGGGCAGTAAAGATACAAGACATTTCCGTCATTACAGAAAAATCTATTTGGCCCCCACCTCCAGTTTTCTGAATTATTCACTGAATGGCAACTCAATGTGACTAAATGTACCGCAACCAAAAAATTAGTCAGTCCCATTTTTCTCTATTCGGAAACAAAACCGAACGTTGTCGCTGTCCATAGAGTCCATGGACATCTGATGAGCAAACATCCCAGTGGTCTTGATACGGTCAGTATTTCACGTTAGGCTGAGTTAGGAACCTATACCAACCTTGGAAGCGGAAAGGTCTCCGTTCCAGTTTCCCTGGGTCCCTTCTCTCACTGGAGAACTCTTGCCAAGTCCCTATGTTGCTCAGATTCTCCATTTGCTCCTCACTAAAAAGTCCACTGTAACATTCAGGAGGCCTTTTGTGTAAACTATAAAGCACAGCTCAAGTCTCACTCACCATGGTGTTCCCAGCAGCTACCATTGTGCCTAGGAAAAGGACACAAACATTTGTGGATTAAAAAAAAAAAAAAAGTAGGTCTCCTTGTCCAAAGAAGAAAAGACAACTCTCAGGCCAGGTACCGTAGCAATTGACTTTTCCTGTGGGACTATTTAGAGCAATGTTAAAAGGATTCAATTAAGTACAAATGGGACACTTTGGAGCCATTTGTGTATAACCCTCCTCAGGGTCCCACAGCCGTTGGACCGGGAATAAAGATACCTCCTGACCTCTCTTCCTTTAGGTGATGGAGCAAACGACGTAAGCATGATTCAAGCTGCGGATATTGGCATCGGAATATCTGGACAGGAAGGCATGCAGGTACAGTTCCCTTCAGCTGTTCTCCTTTCTTCCTTGCTCCCCTTGATCCTTGTTGGAGAGCTAAGGCCTTCTGCAAAGTGTGGAGTAAACTTTTCTCCCTGAGAGTTTCGCAGAATTATCGTCTGAAAGTCAGGCTTCCATGTCATAAACCTCCGTCACCAGCCCCCTCCTGGCCGGTGCTTCAGGACCCAGAGATCAAAGGGTGCTTGACTTTTTACAGGCAGCTGACAGTACCTGTGTCCTAAAGCCCAGTAGTACCCAACCATTCAGGGAAGCGTTCCCGGAATCCTAATGTTTGTCCTCAGGCCTGCCTGCCTGCATGCACTGGCCCAGAGAAATGCACGAGCAGGGGTTTCCAGCATAGAAGGTTTAATATCGAGTTGGCTAATCCAGAGGCAGGGAGCTAATGTTAAAGACTCGACTCCCCAAAAGTGTGTAGGTTACAGATTATACGGGGCAAAATCATTAGACGCTGTGGTTTAGGGGTTGTGCTCGGAGCTGTCAGAGGCGAGATAAGGTGATAAATTGTTTCTTCAGGCCTTGAGGACAGCTCTGAGGCCTTTTCTGGCTTGTCCCTCTGTCTGGTCTCGTGAGAAAATAGCCAGGGGGTCGTCCACCCCAGGGCTCAGGGACTGAAACATAAGTTAGGTCAAGATGTTTTCATTAGCCTGCCAGGTTACCCAGACCATGTGACCATTTTTCAGGCTGGGGCTGCTGTCTTCTACCACCTTGGGGGTTGCTGATTATCCAGGGTAAAGGGAAACAGAGGGAGAGATTTCTAGATGTAGCATTTAAAGCTAAATTTAGTCCAAGTCGTAAGGACCTCCGGCTTCAGAAAACTAAGCCCTCCCCTGACCCCATGCTGCCTCCCTAGATTCATGCCAGGATTTAGAACCAGGCTTCTGCAAACCTCGGAGTCTCAAAAGAGCAGTAGGAACTGTGTCTTTTCTGAGGGATCCCCAGGGAAGAAGACACTCTGCATCTGGGAGCGGAGCGAATGGCCTGCCTCTGCAGTGGCCAACAGTGTCCAGAGGTTTGAGGATCCCTGGAAGCCCCGACTCTCCGGGTCACCGCTGTGTCCCTAGCTTGGGGAGCATGGGGAGCATGGGGTCCGCAACGTACGGGGCCACAGTGGATGTTTGTTGGATAAATGGAGATGAAGGGCCCAACTACACTGCAGGCTCCTTCTGACCTGCCCTTACTGGAGTCCAGTGAGGTCTGGATCTCCCACAGGAGAGGGTAGGGCGTCCGAGTCAAAAGAGCCACCCAAGGGCACCACACAATGGCCTCTGGGGCCTAGAACAAAGCCCTGCCCTTGGGAGAGTCTCCGTGGCGCTCTGGCAGCCCAGGCGGAGGCTGATGTCTCTGTTCCGCCCCCGCAGGCTGTCATGTCCAGCGACTTCGCCATCTCCCACTTCAGGCACCTCAAGAAGCTGCTGCTGGTGCACGGCCACTGGTGTTACTCGCGGCTGGCCCGGATGGTGGTGTACTACTTCTACAAGAACGTGGTGAGTTCCCTCGGCCCCCTCCGGCCTGTGCCCCGGGAGCTGTTGCCAGGGCCCGGCCGTCCACACAGCCGCAGACAAAGCGTCTCAGCAGCGGGGGAGGCGCAGGCTCAGCTCTGCCTTACTAGCTCTGTGGCCTTGGGCAAGACAATGCACTCCTCTGCGCCTCGATTTCATCTTCGGCACAATGGGCCTAATACTAGCTGTTCTGTGAAGTCCCTGCGAGGATGGCAGTACTGTGTGGAAAGCACCCGGTGCCTAGGAGTCAGGCACGGTTGGTCCAGGTCCAGGCTCCTGTGGTTGGTCACGGCCCTGCGCCTTAGTTTTGTAACATGGGGCTGGTGAAAGCACCTTTCTCGTGTATTTGCTAAGAAGACGGAATGAGAGCTTATGGATAAAATGATTGGCACAGCGATTACCCCACAGAGTTAGCCTTTATTTTTTATCATTGTTGCTGTTGCTTCATCTATGAGATTTGTTTTCTGACTTCAAGGAAGAGGGGGATTGGAAGACCAGCTAGTGTGGCCTTTAGATTTCCTCCCCAGATAGAGCCGCCCTAATGCAAGAGCCATGGCCGGCCCCTTGGGAGAGTAGAGGTGAAGGTTTAGCGGGGAGTCTTAACTTCCCCCGGACCGCACCTCTCCCTTCCCAGCAGGGAGCTAACAAAGGGCAGGACACTAAATAAAATATCTACTGACAAAAATGTCTGGAGTAGGGCGGTCACCTAGGTGACCTGGGAACAGTCACTTGACCTCCCTGAGCCTTGGTTTCCTCATCAATAACAGGGGAGACTCTGACTCTCTCTGTAGCACTATACACATACCATCCCCCCGCCCCCCGCAAAAAATGGCTTCACCTAAAACATATGTTCATTTCTGTCTTGATACATATGTTGATACGGGTCCAATGCAGGCACATACCAGCTGAGGAACGAAAACTGTCCCACGCTCTTGTGTGAAAAGCCCTTGAGTAACAAGGTGTATGGGAGGAAGGCAGAACACTGCCGTGCTAAGGAACGGAACTGGGCCTGAGTTTTTCATTACCAAGTTCAAGGACTTTTGAATAATCCCCAAGAGCCCCCAAAGAGAATCCATGCCTGTTTGTTTGCGTGAGGGACGAGGGGGAGGACTGAGATCCAGGGGATGGAAGAGAAAAACAGTAGCCAAGTAGCGGCCTATGAAGTCGATTTGTCCCGTCCTGCCCCACCCCCAAGCCCCGCTCGCAGGCAATGTTGCAGTTACCCTGGCTCAGCAGTGAGCATTTTTGCCCAGAGGTCAATATATATAAACAGCATGGCAAACAGTGTTGTTAATTCGATAAGCTGGATGATACTCTTTCAGCAAGTCTATGCAAAGTCACTCAATTTAACTTGAAACTCACTCTGAGCATGAAAGACTGTTTCCTTAGAATTCAAAATACCCCTGTTTAATTTGTTTCCCTTGGCCTCCAAGGAAATAGTTCTTTTGAATAAGCCCAGCCTCTTCTCTGCATTAAATTTGTGAAATAGAAAAAGAAATGTTTCCAGCCAGCCCAGCTTTCAAAGCTTAAATGATATTTATTTCGAGGCCTGTGCTGTGTTTGCCATGGCGATACTGACACGGCATTATCTCCCCTTTGCAATTCGGGGGTGGAGAGTTAGGACTCCCACATCCGAAACCAATTCTGGAGGGGACTGCAACCCTGCCTGCTCCGAAATGTGAACAATGCATTAATTACTGCACAGTAGCTCCTTGGGCGCTGCCAGCGTTGCAATGCACTCGTTCCGACGGGCCTGGACTCCAGCCAGACAGAGGAAGTGGAAGCAAGCAAAGTCCTCCCAGGGCCTTGAAAGAAGAAAACACTCTCATGTTAATGTTACAACTCCAGCATGAGCGTTAGGAAAAAAGAACAGCTGAGATGAACGAATAATTAGTCAAATTATTATTATTCAAATTATTATCAGGCTCTGGGTATAGAGCGAGATGCGGTCACTGCCCTCACGAGGCTTACAGTCAAATCAGGGCTCAGCAAACTTACTCTGCGCAGGGCCACACAGTAAATATTTTCAGCCTGGGGGGGTCATGCAACCTCTGTCACAACTGCTCAACTCCTCCACGGCAACACGAACGCAGTCATAGACGCTATGCACGGGAAATGACGTGGCCGAGTCCCAGCATTTACGGTTGGGTTGGTATGTCAATTCCTGGTCTCGATAAATCTTCCTTTTCAAAATGTTGTTCTTGGATCAGCAGCATTCGCACTCCCCGGACACATTTAGACACGCAGACCCTTACGGTCCACCCCAGACCTGCTAACTCGGCATCTGCATTTTCAATATGATTCCCTCTATGATTCCTATGAAGCTTTAGGACTGATAAGCATAAGTATGGGAGGAAGAACTTAAAAACCTCTCCCTAGAAGAAGGTCAGGGTGCTAAAACATATCTCCAGGAGACAAGGAAACCAAGGCTCAGAGAGGCCACATGACTCTTCCATGTACACACAGCATGCAAGAGTCGCGGGAGACTAAAACCCCAGGGGCCTCCCTAGTCTAAACATTTTCGCCAGCAGATAGTGTAGTGAGTGTCCTGACCTCTATGAACTCGCTGTTGGGAAGTGAGGTGTAGGGTCTCCGGTGGAAACCAGGAAGAAATGAACATGTTTCAGCTTCGACCTGAAGGACAGTCAATATAACAGTTAGTTAACCAGCACCCTGGATGACCAGGAGAGGCTGGACCCCGAGTCCTTATCAGAACTATTGCAGGCAGCCTATTTATAATTTTACAGCGTACATTGTATCTAATTCCCAAAAAGTGTAAGTGACTTAACAGTAGGAAAAACAAAAAGGCAATAGGAACATTATAAAGAAAATAGAAGAGTACGGATCAGGAGAGGGAAGTTAATTGTGCCAGGACCCTAGGATGAGATACTAAGTATTAAACATCTGCTTGAAACCAGCAGACCAGTTCTCTGCTTGGGGCCGGGGGCGGGGGTGGGGGGGTGCGCAAGGAGAGAAGCTCTCTCTTTGCTCTAAATTCAGAGATTAATTTGTCAAGCAGACCTTTAGAAAAAGGCTACCCAGAAACCTTCAGGAACTTGCCTTCCCTGGCATTTTTGTAGGAAATGAAAATTAACCTCCATATGGTCAGCCTTTTTTCCTAACAACCTTTAATAAAAATCAATATTAAATTATAATTCAGTAAGGACATTTCTGTGGGAACCCAAGCCAGTGATATCAAAGTGCCCAGAACTTTTTCGCTTTAACTAGGACTTAGTGAAGCCCATCAGTACCGCTGGCATGTGTGGTGTAGGGCAAGGAGCTTAATAAATGCCAGTTCTCCGACGCCCAGTTCACGGGGGTTCTCCATGCCACCCCTGATTTCTGTACTATTTTCTTTGTACTCAATACTGCTTGCTACTGTTCGGCAAAGCATTACCAACAGTAACACGCACCACTAGTGACAGAGAACCAGTCACATACTAAACACTGTGCCAAGAACTTTACATATGTATGTACCCATGAAAGTAAGTGTAGTATAAGGGCTCAGAGCATACGTGCTAGAGCCAGACTAGGTTCAAATCCCGGCCCCACTCTGCTCCTGGGCAGCCACGTGGCCCTAAGTGACTTATTCAGGCTCTCTGTGTCTCAGTCTCCTTGTGTGAAATGGGGATGATACCTAACTCATGGGATTGTGTGTCCCTAACTGAGTTGCTATGTGTGAGGTGCTTCGACTAACACCTTACATAGTAAATGTTTACTTGGTCCAGACTAAACTAGATGATGAGTGACAGCAGGAGCAAACAGCCTTGTGGGGTGGGGACAGGGAGCCTCCCGCGAGGCATCTGGGCAGAAGAGCCCAAGGCTGAGGCACCTTGGCTGGAAGAATCGCAGGCAGCCTTGCTATTGCACAGCCTGAAGGTGGGACTGAGAAGGCTTGGGGGTGGTGGGAGAGAAGGGGCTCTGAAAACTCAGGTGCTAATCGTACCACTTCCTAGCTCTGAACTTGGGCAGGGGGTAACTGGTTATCTCAGAGCCTGAGAGGCCTCATCTATAGAGCGGGCTAGCAATGTTATCATCAAAACATAACATATATTAATTAACACAAACATTATAGTGTTATATTATATGCAATAATAATCTTACAAAGTTGTAGGGACCAATTATAATGTATATCACACATCTAATAACGTACAAATACTAATGTTCAATAATATATATCACACACCTGGCACAGTCAGTCAAATAATAATTATTGGTGTAACTAATGGTATTATTAACATGTTTGTATTATTATTACGATAATAAATAGAGCGCCTCTTCAAAGTAACACTAGCCCGGCAGTTAGGGAATGAGACTTCTAGTTTCAACACAAACCTGCTGAACAATTTCTCACAAAACCCTTCACCCCTCTGTGCCTCAGCCACACAGAGCAGAGAAGTTCTCGTCCTAACTCGGGGACACTGCTCCTGTGACCGTGCGCACGTCACCAAACCACATCACGACCTGGATCACTATTTTCAGAGACCACAGTGGTGGCCCGGCCCCTCCCAGGGAAGGGCTGGGGTGGGACTGAGCTTCCGCGAGGGGACAGCAGCAGTCAGGCAGCAGTGGCTTAGCGCCCTTCCGAGTTGCGTGACCGTTAGGAAAGCGCTGAGAGAGAGACCTACCTCCTCATGAAGTCGTCTTCCTTCCAGGCTTCCTGCCCACTGTCCCGTCCCTCTGCCGACCCTTCCTCAGAGCCACCCCTTTCTCTTTACCAGCCTGCTACTACCTGCTGCCTCTCTGTAGCACATGCCACGGTCTAGGACCTACTCCTGCCATCTGAAAGGTGGCGAGATGATGTTCAGAAAGGTTGAGCGCTTTGTCCAAGGTCACTCAGCTAATAAGCGACAGAACGGGCATTCAACACCAGTCCTCTGACTCCAAAACCTGTGCTCTTAACCACCATCGTACACTCACCTTAACAAGGCCCCAAAGAACATGCGGTTAATAATTAGTTAGTAGCGATAATAGTGTCAGGAGCTGCTGCTCTGAGGATTTGAGTTCTCCCCAGTTTTTACCTGACTTTGCATGTCACAAATGAGGAGACCGAGCTCCCTGTCCGCACAGTGACTTGTGAGGCGCCCCCACACAGCAGTCGAGGACCCTGAACCTGCGGGTCCGCGCTCACAAGGCCACGCCGCTCCTGCCCGCAGTGTTACGTCAACCTGCTCTTCTGGTACCAGTTCTTCTGCGGCTTCTCAGGCTCCACCATGATCGACTACTGGCAGATGATATTCTTCAACCTCTTCTTCACCTCGCTGCCCCCTCTCGTCTTCGGAATCCTCGACAAAGACATCTCTGCGGACACACTGCTGGCGCTGCCCGGGCTGTACAAGAGCGGCCAGGACTCCGAGGTCAGGGCTTGGGGTGCGGGGGGCGGGGGCTCGCTTCTCCCGGGACGGGGGCTGGAACCCTGCCTTCTGGCCACCACTCTGCCACTCACCTCCCGTGTGACCAAGTAACTTCGCTTCCCATTCGTGGCCTGTTTCTCATTTGCTGTTGAGGGTCATGGACCAGACCAGGGACTATGTTTCTTTTTAGTGATTTCTTAATTATACCACCCACTAGAAGACTGCCCCCGTTGAAAGGGCAGAAGGCACAAAGCCCGCCCCCCACTCCAGGCCTTCAACAGAACACCTGGGACGGAAAGCCAGCGGGCTCATCACTGGGTAGCACATTCATCATAAGTGAGGGCTCCCTGCACGCATCAGGGAAGGCAAAACCCACGGTCACACAAGGCCTAGAACTTGCTGATACCAAGTAGACCAGTGGTCCTTAACTGTCCTGGCAACAGGGCCCAGTTTCATGGGAGACAATTTTTCCACAGACCGGGGGACGAGGGGGAGCTGGTTTTGGAATGATTCAAATGCATTGCATTCAAGCTCCCCTCCTGCTCAGTGGCCTCGTTCTCAACCGGCCGCGACCAGTATCAATCTGCAGCAATCTGCAGAGGTTGGGGACCCCTGAAGGAGACCAAATAAGGCCTGGGAAGCCATCAGGATGGTTTCTTAAAAGACACAGGGGTTACCATGGCACCTGACCAATTTGGAGATGTCAGGCAGCAGGCGCTGCAGGTGGTCAGGAGGCTGGATGCAGGAGCCAGGGCGGGAAGCTGCCTCGGAGGAGGAGCTCTGGGAAAAGGGACGGGGACGTGCCTGAGAGGAGGTTCCTTGCCTCTGGGGGAAAGGACAGCAAAGCCAGGTGTAGTGCTTGTAGTATTTGTGGCCAGAAACAGAGAACCAAGCCCAGCCCTAACCCAGAGACAGGGCAACGCAGCAGCCCCACAGCTTCAGGTGAGAGACACTCGTGCACATCCCAGGCCTTCTGACGGCCCTTTCCACAGGGCACTGGCTGCCTCCTGTGCTCCTTAAGCACCTAACATTAGAGGACATTCATGTAGCAAAAGCGTACACTGTGGATACTTTCCCTGTTCCCAGGGAAGGCACAAAAGGAGAGGGCCTGTGTCCAAAGCCACTGAGCTCTGTCTCTTGGCAAACTGTGACCCTGGTCTGGGACAGATCGTCTTTTAAAATGCCATTTAGAAAACTTAAAACCTGTAAACTTACCAAGTTTTTCTAAAGAGGTTTTTCTTGTTACTCATTTAGTTTGGGTTTGGTTTTTTGTTTTTTTGTTTTTTCAGATTCCTCATGGAGGTGAGATCATATGGTATTTGTCTTTTGCTGAATTATTTCACTTAGCATAATACCCTCTAGGTCCATCTATGCTGTCGCAAATGGCAAGATTTTTTTTTTTTTTGGCTGAATAACATTCCATTGTGTGTGTGTGTGTGTAAATACATTTTTTTATTTACACACACACATATGTATACACAATGATCATAGGGGTACCTATAGCTTTTTAAATTAATGTTTTTGTTTTCTTCAAATAACACCCAGAAGTGGAGTTTCTAGGTCCTATGGAAGCTCTGCTTTTAATTTTTTCAGGGGTCTCCATGCTATTTTCCGCAGTGGCTGCACCGACTGACCCCCACCAGCAGTGCGCGAGCGCTGCCTCTCCCCCTCCTGCTCACCAGTGCACGTTGTCTGCTGAGGCACTGACGCCAGCCCCTCTGGTGGTGGTAACCGCTGGTGTGTTCTTTCCTGGCAGTGCTATAACCTGGCGACCTTCTGGATTTCCATGGTGGATGCGTTCTACCAGAGCCTCATCTGCTTCTTTATCCCTTACCTGGTAAGTCATAGCGCGCCAACCATACAAACCGCAGGGTGGAACGGGTCCTGTTTCTATGACCTCCTAGACTAGTAGTGGCTTTCTGGATACTTACTTCAGAGCAGAGTTTCAAAATAGGTGGCCTGCAGACTACATCCAACGTTGGGTATTTGACAAGTCAGAAAGCTCTACCCAAACATTTCTCTCTCTGCCAGGTTTGAAAAACTGAAAGCCATCATGACATTGATCATTTTTCCCTCGTGGCAGAAATCCAGAGTTGACGCACAGCCCTGCTTAGATGGGACGTATACCCCCCAGTTTGCCACAGTCCCCACCACCCTCTCTTGTCTTATATCTGGCCGCCTTCACTTATTTACTGTTTCCTACTTTAGCACTGTAGAGATTTGAATTTACAACCCTTGATTTCGATTTGTGCTTCTTAGGTCAAGACAGCAAACATGCAGTCAGCAAGATAATAAAGAATACTGCAGATCCTAAAATAAAACAAAGACTACATACAGCAAGGATACCGGCCCCATCTCGGTCCGGTTCCCCAGTGTAGAGTGAGAATTTAGAGAGGGAAGGATATCTGTATTTCTCCTGGACAGGGAACCAGAATGCGGGGTAACTGCCACCAGGTAAACAGTAGTGTCTACCTGGCCTCGGGGCTCATATCCTTTTGCAATTAGCAAACATGGGGGTCGAGAAAGCAGGCATTTGACACTTCATGTGAATTTCCTGGCCAACAATACCCTCCCTGGCCAGGCCTCTGCTTGTCTTTCCTACTGAGTCTTGCGCTCCTGTTGCAAGGTCAACAGACCCACCATCCAGGGCTGTTTGACGTTCCACAACCTCAGTTCTGGCCTTTGGCTGGATGGCCTTACCCTCTTCAAGAGACTAACTCCTCTTCTGAAGGTCTCAGCTGATGCAGCCCCTCTTCTTTGCTCCCAGTGCACCTTGTCCTTTTCTCCACTGTGGAATCTACCCCCTTAAAGAGTTCTGCGCTAACCCTGCCAAGTAGGCTGTGAACTCATCGAAGGTGGACACAAAGTATCTTCAGCAATTAGCATCATGCCTAGCGGGTGCTCAATCACTTATCCCGTTCTTCCCAAATGTTCTGGAATGCCCATGATGGCTTCCTGTGAAAATGGGTTTCTAAATAGCATAGCCCCATCAATTCCCCCCTCACCTCGTCTGTCCTGTGGGTCAGTTCCACACAGGTGGCAGCTGGACATCTTCTCTCCCTTCCTTCCCCAACCTTGACACCTGCTTTCACTGCAACTTTAGAATCACTGTGTCAAAGCCAAGGCCTTGAGCCCACGGGCACAGCTGACAGTACCTCTTTGGTCCCCCTCGGCAGGCCTACAAGGACTCTGATATCGACGTCTTCACCTTCGGGACGCCCATCAACACCGGCGCCCTTGCCACAATCCTCTTGCACCAGGCGATGGACATGAAGACCTGGGTAAGGGGCTCGCTGCCTTAAAATCCGTGACCGCATTCAGATCTGTTGTTCTTCGTGCTGTTGATCCACTCAATAAATACATATTGAGCTTTTTTTTCCCCATGTCTCTCCTAAACGAGGAAGAAAGAGGTGTAGAAGATAAAATTCCCAGCCTCAACTTGCTTCACATCCAGCCAGAATGATAAAGCTAACATATATAAAACAATGAGACCATTAGTTGCAAAAATAGATACTAATAAAAAAAAAATTGAAGGGCATTTTCAGAGACAAGGAGAGCATTAGACTGATCGCACTGTGGTAGAGAGGTGTGCTTCCCCTTAATTTTAGGGTAAAAGGTTAGAAAAAGTACCTTTACGTACCATATCTCAAGCCAAAATAGCCCATTTTAGCATCTGAAAGAGAAACTCCAGCTTTTTCATTAAGTTCTTCTAATCAATAATTATTTTTAAAGAAAGCTTAAAATTATATGCCAGGTACCTATCTACACAATTTTTTTTTTAATGTATTATCTCATTTAACTTCCCAGAGCCCTTTGTGGTCAGTGAGCTTTTGTTTTGAGATTTAACTGGCGTACAGCTCTCTCTAAGTTTAAGGTATACCGCGTAATGACTTGACATACATACATTGCAAAGTGGTGGATGTTAACTTAAACTTACTGTGGTCCCTATTTTGCAATACACACACGTTAGGAGTTTTTCAATTCCCACTTTACAGATATAGAAATAGGTACAATGATGTGAAGAAATGTGCCCCAAATAGTTCAAGAGAGAAGCATGACTGAACCCAGCAGTTTGGCTCTTGGGTTTTTAACTGCTGGGCTAATAGTGTGAGGGTATAAGATTTCATGGCGTGAGAAACCACTTGACAGAAAGACTTGTCCTTGGCCAAGCTGAAATGGTTCTTTCTGAAAATATAGGTATTCGGAGTTTTCTGAACTGCCCCAAGCAGGCTCGGTGTGTCCCCTGCATTCTGCAGGGGCACTTCCCCCCGGCGGCTGTCACAGCCAGACCGGGCGCCGACATGCTGGGCAATGGCTGGTGAGAGCCACCCAAGGGAACTTCGGGACCCGTGAGTTCCCAAACCCCCCCCCCGTTCCAATTCATGCCTGTAGCAAAAAGAATAAAATGATAAACCCAAAAAGGCAGAGCCGAGATTAAGTGCAGGACAAACTTCTCCGAGAACCACCGGCACCAGAAGAGGCTGCAGCACAAGGGAGAGGTGCTACACAGGCTCACCCTGCAGGCCCCCGGGGCGCGGGGCGGCGGGCGCCTGACTCTTGCGGGGCCAGCCCCAGTTTGCTGCTGGGTCCAAGGCCTGAGCTGCACCAAAAAAAAAAAAAAAGGACAATGACAAGTATTTGGAGTTACAGTTTTATCAAAAGCAAGAGCTTTATGAGGAAGAGAGGCAAGAGACAAATGTGTAACTTCAATACTAGGAACTGAGCCAACCTAGGAAACATTTAGAACTCTTGAAATTGAAAAATTGTCACTGAAATTAAAAATGCAATTTGTGGTATCTTAACAGGTCTAACATGCATTTGATTAAACTCTCAGAAGGAAATGAGAGAAAATGAGACAGCGGGAACATGTTAAAGGATAGTGACTTGAGAGTTTTGCTGAAGTGATGAACTGCACCAACCCAGAGTTTCAAGAAAGTCAGTAAAACCCAAACAAGACAAAAAGAAATCCACGCATAGTATATCATAAGGAAACTACAGAACACTAAAGACAAAATAAAAATCAGAGGCCAGGCTTTAAGTGACAGATGTCCTAAAGAACAGCAGATGAAGAGTCGCAAACTTCACAGAGCGACAGTGGGAGCCAGGAGACAGTGAGGTGCGGACGTAAACATGCTGACTGAAAATAACTGCCAAACAGCAACGCTGTATCCATCAAAAATGAGAGCAAGATAAAAACATAAGGAAAAAATCAGGGCAGACTCTACTAAAGGCAATTGTAAAGGACGTACTTACAGCAAGAAGGAAGAAATCGCTGATGGGAGGTCCAAGATTCCAGAAGGAATTCAGGCATAGAAAGTAGTAAACATAACTAAATCTTAATAAACATTGGCCACATTCAAATAGAAGAATGGCATCTGTGCTTTGAAAATGATACAATTAAAACAGACAGTAGCAATAAGATACGCTGGCAGGGAGGTTAAACAGTATTCCAAAGCCCTTGTACAATGCAGGGAGAAAGTAGTTCTAAACTTTAGACTGTGGTAAGTTAAAATTGCTTATTACCATTTATCGCGTAATCGCCCAAAGAACAGAAATGGAGTACGTCACTTTCAAACTAGTAAAGGGGGAAATAAAATTATACAAAATAATACATTTAAAAGAGGACAAGAATGGGGAAAGAAAGCAGTGTAGAATAGGCAGGACAAAACATGACTAGGCAACATCATTGAACTTGGAAAACAAACTACAGCCACCTGTGGAAAAAATGGATTCGTCCACAAACACTATATGGAGGGGGCAAAAAGTTATACAAAATAGAATTCTATTTACTAACATCTAAAAAAACAGTCTCTGCAGAGAAACATAGAAAAGTAGTAAAACGTCAAAGGACAGCTTGGAAGTTATCACCAAAGTCGAGGCTGAGATTTAGGGGTGCTTGGGGTATATGTGCTCAAATTTTATATGCATTGCATCCCACCACCCCCCCCCCTCAAAAAAGAAGCTTAATACAAAGTTAGCCAAGTGACGGCCCTGCCCGCTGACCTAAGATCCACTTCAACAGCATTTACTTCTCTCCCACAGACTCTCCTCCACGCGCTGGTCCTCGCAGGCAGCTTCCTGATGTACTTTGTGGTGTCCCTGGTGTACAACGCCACCTGCGTCACCTGCAACAGTCCTACCAACCCCTACGGGGTGATGGAAGGCCAGCTCTCAGACCCCACTTTCTACCTCGTCTGCTTCCTCACACCGGCCGCGGCTCTCCTCCCAAGGTTTGCACAGGGGGCCTCTTTCCTTCCTAAGACCACCCGCCTGCCCCCAATAAGCCATTTTCACGGCCCAGGAGTCAGCAGTTTGCCTCCTGGCTGGGACCCTTGAGGCAACTGTTTCAAAGATGGGGTCCTAGGACAGAAAGAACAATGAACTTGGAGGCAAACAGCATGGACTCTGGTCCCAGGCCAGCCGCAGAGCAGCCAAGCCGGCCGACCTGGCCTGGCCGCAGTTGTGGCATCTGTAGAGTGAGAGTGATGATCCCCATCCTCCGGCCTTACAGACTGTGCTGTGTCTCAGGGATCGTTTTGACAAGCTCGGCAGCTCTTTATAAGCCCAGGAGCCTCACACACAAATGCCTGAAGAGACAGGCAGGCAAGGGGCTGAGGGAGAGGCATGGGGAGCAAGACCTGCGTGCCTTCGCCCGTCATCGCCACCAGGAGTGATTCGTTTAGCATGCCAGAGCTTTAGCTAGTTCTCCCAGACATTCAAATTTTGCATGAAACAGCCAACGTTTTAATATTACTCAAATTTGTTAACATGCGCACATGATGTACCAGCCAAATAAATCATTCATGCCTAGGGACTCTTTCTAACATTTTTGGCCTAAATTGTCTGCACTTGCCTTTTCCAGGAAGCTGGCGACAATGCCTGCACCTCCTTGGAGCTTGCTCTTAGCCCACACTCTATCTGGTGCCTCATTTTATTTTTGCTGTCGCCTAGAAATCAGGCGGAGCTGCGGTTGTAGTCCCATGTGCTCAGGGCACAACTCAAGGGCCAGGAAGGACCAAAAGTCTGCCTGCAAGCTCACCGCAAATCCCAGTGGGAGCTGGATTCTCCCAACTTGGCGGCCAGGGTTCTAGTCTCCGTCCACACTGTCTAGTCAGAGCAGTCGGTGACCTTGACAGTGACCTACCCACAGACAAAACTTAGCCCCTCTCGCCATCATCCTGGTCTCACCACTCTGAGCATCCAAATTCAGCCACTTCGCCATTGTAAGCTGTAGGGAAAACAGGCCAACATGGTGCAGAACATTTGCTAATCCAAAATCGGCAGACAGGGCGTCCTTTAATAAATCAGGCGGCTTGTTTCACCGAGGTTGGGGCGCCACGTCCTCTCTCTCAGGCCCCTCCGAACCTGGACCTCTCTGCAAGGCCGGAGGCCTGTCAAATAGCCGTGTTGGTCAAGTCTGAATGTCCACTGTGTGCACGGCCCCTGCAGCCGCATCCCCCCACTCCCTGCCCCAGCCTCTGCGCTGCACACCACCCGGCGGCTTGTACTTCCCTAAGCGCCCCTGCCTCTCACCTTCCCACCTGGGCTCACACTGTTCCCTCCACTCAGAGCACCCTCCCCACTACCAAAGCTCCTCCCCCTTTGACGTTGTTTCAGGTAGTGCCGATTCCAAGCCTTCTATGACTTCGCCTACCTGCCTCAGGCCGAAACACACTCCCCTCTCTCACGTGTTCATCACCTGGGTATATCTCTGTCACTGCCCTTTACCCCACTTATTATAAATTGGCTGTTTGTCTCTGTCTGACCATTAACTCCGAGACAGAAGATACCCTCATTATACAACCAACACTTAGCACAGTTCCTGCCGCAGTGGCTACACCAAAAAATAAATGAGCAACGGATGCTAAAGGATCAGAAAAATGGGTAAAACAGGAGCCTTGCTCTCAAGATGCCTACAGTCCAGTGAATGACTCAGACCTAAGTGTGATGATAATACAAGAGTCAGAAAGACGAGTATTCACAGAGGGCCCTGAGAGTCAAGAGTGGGGGCCAATTAAGGACAAGCACAAGCCTCAGCTGACACATCTCCCGCCAGGCCCCTTCTTCAGCCCACCCTCTCGGAAGCTGGGCCCTGCCAGAGACCCCCGAGGATGGTGCCCTCTTTGGAAAAGGGCATCAAATACGTGGGTCAAATACTTTTGTCCACACTTTTGGGGTTAAACGCAGTTGTGATCACCACTCACCAAGGACTGAACTGCTCTGTTCTGTGGCGGGGGGGGGTGGTTGGGGAGGGGAGGGGCATACAGAAATAGAAAATTACCAGCCGCATATTCCTTGTCTCACCCTTGGCTAGAAAACACACTTGGAGCCAAAAGCTACAAGCTTAATGAGTATCCCTGAAAAGTCTGAAAAACTGTTAACACATGCTTTGAAAAGACAAGCACTGAACATTCCAGCTTGCTAAAGAGATAAATTAGGAAAAAGTGAGCAAATATTTACTTGTTGGTTACCATAGCACATACGTTAAATCTTTGCTTATTATCATCATAAAGTTGAATTTCTGTTTAATTCTGTTGACTAAGTAAAGCAAAGAGGTTTCTTCTGAGGAAGGATTTTTTTAATAGTTCCAAAGACTGTTGACTTGTAACCTTGAAAAAATTAATGTTTGTTATAGAAATCTACATGACAGAATGTTTGCTGTAGAACTCTATTTGTTCACGTAAGGTTATAAGCTGTATGTGTCATACTGGAGGTAGAGTTCACTCACCAACCTTGTGATAATTAGCCCACTAACTATGACCTCACTAATCTTGGTCTAATTAATTCAACCAGAATAAAAGAACTGTACTTCTCATAAACTAAGAACATGTACATTGCTTTGCAGATAAAAACAAAAGAAGCTAACACATGAAGTTTATAACATAGTGAGCATCTTAATGAGCTACAGTACAGGATCCAGTCCTTGGACACTCTCCTCAACACTCTTGGTTTTTCTAATTCACGTCCTTGACATGGTATATGCCAAGCCTTGGTCTTAGGTTCTTCTGTCTTCTACCTTTATACTCTCTCTGTAGACATAGCAACCACTATTGTGAAATAAATGTTTTTAACAGATGAATCTCCAATATAAATTCTCAACCCAGATCTCTCTTCTCAATTGCAGATGCATCTTTCTAGCTACCTAGGCACCACCTCCAGTTGGTGTGTGAGTTAGAAGAAATTGAGAGACACAATGTGCCTCAATCAGGATAGCCCAGAAAGAGAAAGGGCTGCCCTGTGCATGGTAGACAAGAGAAAACCCTAGGGATCCAGCAGGCTTGACATGGACCCCAGCTAGACCGCTCTGTGGCTCTGGACAAATTACTCACTATCACTGCCTCAGTTTCCTCATATGTTACAGGGGGGAAGCAAAAACGCCAGCCTCATGGGACTGTTGGGAAAGACAAGTTAATGATACTCCAAGCATTTAGAACAGTTCAGGTGTGTAACAAACGTCAGCGTTACGTGCTGTTATGGAACTCCCAAATCCCAGCGGTGCTCAGGCATAGGTCTCATGGCCCTCAGTCAGCAACGCAGCAAGAAAGGCCCTGCCCTGGGTGGGGAGCTGGATTCAAAGATCCCTTTCGATGCCAAAATTCAGGAAGACAACAAAAATCAGAAAACGGCTTGACTCTGTTATTTCTTATTTCCCGCCAGGTACTTTTTCTTGTCTCTGCAAGGGACATATGGGAAGTCCCTCATCGCAAAAGCTCAGAAAATTGACAAACTCCCCACGGACAAAAGAGACCTGGAGATCCAGAACTGGAGAAGCAGACAAACGCCTGCCCCTGTCCCCAGAGAGCCTCAGCCCACCCGCTGTCCAGTGCCACCTGAACAGGACTTCAGAACCAGCGCCCCAAAGAGCTCCAGCCCTCCCAAGCAGAAGTGCAGGGCGAGCCAGGGGGGTCCTGGAGAGGGAAGCAGCAGGGAGCACGCACGGGAGGACCCATGCTCAGTGGACTCTGCAGCGACACTCGCCTCCAGAGACCTTCTTCTGGGCAGCCTGATGGCTCCCGGCGCCCACCCAAGTGGACAGACCGGCGCATACCAGCGTTCGGGCAGGGGCAGCCATCGCCGATCCCAGAGCTCAATGACCATATGAGCGGCCTGCAAAACCGGCACAAGCTCAAAGGAGGCCGCCCAGGCACTGGCCCCGTGAACCCACGGCGTCTCTTCTTCATGGAGGAAAGAAGGAGCCAGTCCTACTCCTTTGTCCCCCACCAGTCTTGGCTTCCTCAGAGGAAGTGTTGGCCCCAAGGGGTTTGACCAAAAAAGAAAGACTGGAAACCGGTCGACCTCCAGTTTTCTACTGCTGCCAGGCAGCACATCTTGCAAACGGAGTTTTACAAAGAGGCTCTGTTTCTATGGCATTGAGTTCTCAAATGTTTTAGCTCAGAAACATTCTTCTGATCCCCTAGATTAAGTACAGTCTAACAGTCCCAACGCCTAAGTTTACAAGACTCCAAGAAATGTATAACCGACGCGACCTCTCAGGCTATGGAAGTTTCTTGGCTTGTCAAACCATCACCTCACCCCACGGGTGCCACGGTTTAAATTTCAGAAGAGACCCATCCACACAGGGGCTTCATCGTGTTGGCATTACAGAGATGGCCATGTCGGGACTAACATCTCTTCCAATCACAAAGAGTTGGGTCGTTTTTTTGTCTCTAAGCCAAAGAGAACCACATCGAAAGACTAAAACTAGACTCGAACTCAGTGCCACAGACGCTTCAGGGAGCTGTAGGGCCACAGCCACTGTAAGGGGCAGAAGGAGCGGAAGCACAATAAAGGAAATGGGTGTCCCAGAAGCCCAGGCTTCAGCCGACAGACCTCTGTCCCACAGCCTCGGGAATCTACCAAGAGAGCCGCACTTTTTGTAAAGCTATTTACTGGATTTGTTTTTAAAGAAAAGTACTCATCCTCATCCAGCTCTCAGAAGAGGACAACACTAAGACCAGTAGACCTTAGCAGGCCTGCACCCAGAATAGACCCACAGGATCCGAGCAGCTCCGAGCCCAAACAATGGCATCTTCAAGGGTAGGGTCAGTATCAAACCCTATTCATTAGGCCTTGTCCAGAGGAGCACCATCGGAAGGACACAGGCAGGGTGCTTGAATTAAATTAGGGAGTCTCAGCTAGTAAATACCAAAAATGTAAGAGCTCAGAAAAGAGCTGAAATAAAAGAATGGATGGTAGAATTCTAACAGGCTGTCAAGAGAAGCTAGGTCTTCTATGGACGAGGATAGCCTGTCCCCAGTCCTTTCAGGGAAGTCAGGGAGAGCTACTAAACCCTTTCTCCTTAAGGTGGTGCCTATTCATTAGGCGCAATCCCTTTCGGTTAGGAATAAATACAACAGTCTTTGAGCCTAAGAGTCATCGCCACCTCACCTGAGTAACTTCTTGGCAATGATGCCCCAAAGGATCTCAACAACCAAGTTGCCAAATGGCAGACGGAGCTGGTCCCCTGACCGCCCGGCTGACACACCTGAACTTGAGAAGCCATTTGGAGCATCATCCTGGAGCCAAAACACTGGACCACTTTCGCTGACTCTGCCACATAATGACACTGGCACTGGCCTGCTGGTGGGTATTCAGAGGAGTCTTATGATAAAATGATATGCCTTGTCCCAAATGAGGGAATTGAGCCAAAACTTGGACCTCAGGTTCTCCATGTGATTCCTGCCCAGCCCTGAAAGCCAGATGAGACAGGGTGTTTCAGAAAAGAACAGAGGAGTGGGAAGCACAGAGCCCCAGACGAGCTGAGACAGAGGTCTTTGCTCTCTAGAGCCAGGAACCTTGAGGCAGGAAGCCACACCTATAACTTAGGGCTGACCAGTCCTACGTCCCAGGCTTGGCATTAGGATCAAGTCCAAATTACGAGGAGGGGATGGAGGGGATGTGAAAACACTTTGAAAGCTGTAACACCCTCGATAATCACACAGGGATTTTTATTTCAGAGCTAAGAGGAACAGAGGTGACAGAGAAGTTGAGAAAATGTCTGATCCTGACACCTAAATGCCACACCATAACCATCATTGCGATGCTGCTGTTGCTGGCATGACCAACCATCCCAGTTAGTCCGGGATTTCCCCGCTTTTAGCACTGCAAGTCCCACGTCCTGGGACAACTGGGACAACTGGTCACCTACTCCTGCCCTCCTTTGTAAACCAAATCAACTGTGACCAACATGTCACCTTAGGAGAAAAGGTTATAACTATTTACCTATAACATAATGTTAATGATTGCACTTACTACATTTTTATACTTTCATGAACTTTTACTGATTGACTGGAAATGTGTCATCCTTTATTTGAAGAAAAAAATAAACATCGTTTTTCAGAAGTGCTTGCAGTGCTGCACAATCTCTCATCCATCCATCCCTCTTTGCATTCACTCAGCTCTTCATTCATTCACCCATCTGTGCACCCATCCATTCATTTATCTACTCACTAAATTTCTGGTAGGCCCCTCCTGCGTGCCCAGGGACATGCTAGGGGCTGCCAGGAACTCATCCCTGTGTGACAGAAGCTCACAGCCTGGTTGGGTGCAGGGTATCAGGAACATATCTGATCCGGTGGAAGCGTGCAACACAAACCGAAGCGGCTGCAGGAATGAGAAGCAGCACACACGGTCCCCTCTCGCTGAAACTCTAACCTGACGACCCCTTTCCCGGGAGCCTGACCCCAACCTCAAGCCTTATTGATCAGGTGCCCCCTTTCATTCACGCATTCGGCAAATATCCAGTGCGTGCCTGCTGTCCGCATGGCTGTGGTAGGCAGCAAGCATAAAAGGGGGAACAAGCCCACTCCTGCTCTCAAGGGATTTACAATCCAGAAGGGGAGACAGAGAAAGTGGGGGTGGGTGACTCCCAGGATAATCAGAAGTTTCCGCTGAGACCTTAACCAGGAGAGAATTAAGTATGAAAGCTCTAAAAAAGGAAATAGTTTGGTAGCTATATCTCCCCAGGCAAGGGAAACAAAAGAAAAAAATAAATGGGACTACATCAAACTAAAAAGTTTTTGCACAGCAAAGAAAATCATCAACAAAATAAAAAGACAACCCACAAAATGGGAGAATATATTAGCCAATACATCTGATAATGGGTTAATAAACAAATATTATATAGAACTTAACAAAACTCAACACAAAACAAAAAACGAAAACAACAACAAAAAAAACAACCCAATAAAAATGAGCAAAGGACCTGAACACACACTTATCCAAGGAGGACATACAGAAGTGGCCAGGGGGCTTTCTGATTCCCGAAGTCCGCCTACGCACACTCAACCCCAGAGCCATGCAAATATGAGGCGGGGCTGGAGGGACCAGGCACAGAGGGTCTGGTCTTCTCCCAGACATAGTCTCGAGAGGCCAGGTAGCACAGTGCGAGCCTGAACTCCATCCCAGCTCTGCCTCAGACTGGCAAGGTGACCTGGGGGAAGCCCACACCATGTTCAGTTGGGTAGTTCACCCAGACAAAAGCTTCAGGAAGGAAGGAAGATAGCAGTGCCTACAGAGACACTAACTCCAATCTCTGCAAGCTCGTTTCCCAGCTGGGACTTCCCACTCTGCACGCAGAGCCCCCAAGAGAAATCCCACAGGAGTGACTTCTCCCAGGTCACCAGAGAAGCTGGGGCGGTGTGGGGCCAGGCAGGACTGCACAGGTTCCGAAGGCGGGGACCGTGCACTGGGGCATTGAGAGCACAAGAGGAGTGCAGCCAGCCAAACTTCAGGATTCGGGCATTTTCAGGCAGGAGCCCAGACCGGCAGCCTTTCGTTCAGAGGCGCTCTGCTGCCACCTAGCAGCCGCGGAGGAGCCGCTGCACCCAGGACCTGGGGGCTCTTCGGGCAGCCAGAACAAACAGAAACAAAAACAAAAAAACAAAAAAAACAGGGCAGAGGGGGAACGGGGAACCAAGGCGAGGCGTCGGGAGACCAGATTTCAAGCCTGGCTCTGCCAGCAGTTTCTGCTGTGACTCTGGACAAATCCCTTCATCGGGCTTCAACTCAGACTGATGTTCAGTCAGTTTCCCGAACGCTCAGGATGGGAACTGGACTGATCCTAACCTGCTGTGTTTCTATTAAAAGCTATTTGGGGGCGGCTGGTTACAGCATAGGAATGAGCCCCGGTAAAGGGACGTACTATTGCATTCTCTCGTGTGCGTGCAGACACACACACTGCACAGACACAAACACTGCGCAGGCGCGCGCGCGCTGTGGACGGTCCCATGCGGGAGGGACCCGGCGATCCGCTCTCTGCTGCGTGCCCAGCACTCCCTGCTCGACAATGTTGTGACTCTGGCTGTTAAAGAAAATCACAGGTGAGGCTGGTCTCAGCAGAAGTAGAAGGCAGGGGGGCAGCAACCGTGTCTAGAAGACGATGGGCCCCCAAAGCCTTTTTGAGGCCCCGAGTTGCCCTTTTCAGGTCGGTAGCTATTAAGGAGCCGCAAATACCTACAAAGGGGCAGGCAGCCCCATTTCCAGCCATCAGAAGGGGGCCGGCACTAGATCACCTCTTTCCCTGACCCAGGCTTCATGGAGTCAGTCCAGGTGCTGAACCGTGTAAGGAGTGGGGAAAGGGAGCTTTCGTCTCCTGCAAGCTCCATTATTAGCATCTCCAACCACCCCCAAGAGGAAAAGCTGCTCGCTACCTAAGTGAAGCACCAAGACAAGTCTCCAGCACCTTCCATGTGCAGCGCTGCCCCTAAACCCCACCTGTCCCCCAGTCAGTCCACAGGAGGGGCGAGCCCCTCACAGCTCACGCCGGGACAGGTAAGCCCGGGCACCTGGCAGACCAAGACCACCTAGAGGCAGCAATACCCTCAGAGTCTGTCCTCAGAACCTCAGTCAGCCCAGGGAGGCTGGCTGACAGACATGTGAGTGAATTTTGAGGGGGAAATGGGTTTTCTTCATTCAGTGTCATGAGCCCTTCCTACCCAGCTAACCTCTGTTCCCATAGATGAGGTGAAAGATAATCCTGAAGATGACGAAACTCAGGTAAGAGAAGTAGACGAGCCTCGGGTCACCCAGGAATTTAGAGTTAGAGCTGAGACTAGGATGGGGTCTCCTGAAACCCCTTGGCGAGAGTTCCTTAACCACCTC